TCCCGAGAGGGTGGTCGTCCATCTGGCGGGTGGGGTCGGTTGCCTGGGCGGAGGCAAGGGCGGGCATCTCGCTATCCACCTGCATCTTGTCGGCGTCCGGCGTGGGCTCTGGCGTCGCCGGACGCTCAAAGTACTCGTCGAGACTAGCATCCCAGTACCCTGCCAGGCGCTCCAGACCCATCCAGAACTTCCTCGCCTGGGCGACGCGGACCCTCTCGCGCCCCTCACGAGGCGACAAACGAGCGACCTCGCGGAAGGCGTCGTCGTTGTCGAAGAGCAGCTCGTTCTTAAGGACCTCGAATCGCTCCTTGGCTGGGTACGGGTTCCCGTTCTCCAGCAGACAGGGCGAGCCATCCTCCATAACGGGAGCGGCATGGGGCGAGGTGTCTTCCCATGGGAGCGCGGGGACGGAGTGCGACCCCGCGTCCTGACGGACGATGCGGGCGGCAGGGAGATCGGATTCGACGCGGACGTTGAAGGCTCGGAATTTCTCGCGCGAGATATCCTGGGGCTTGCGGATAGAGGCGAGGATTTGGTGGATTTCTCTCAGGGAGGCCTCAGGGTCATGGTGGTCCGTCGGCGTGAGGGGGTCGTAGGCGGGAAAGTCGAGAGTTGTCGGAGGCGGGGGCGGACGGCGTTCAATCTCGGGCTGAGCCCCCACGGTTGGGAGTCCTGGGGGCGTCAGAAGGTGTATATGATGGAAGGGTCTTGTAGTCGAAATCCATCAAGTATGATGATGGTCATTGTCGGAGGGGGGGGGGTGGAGGACAAACAAGGCATCTTACCCAAAGCACTATTCCACCCGAACATCGTTATGCTAAGATGCGTCCACCGGATAAAAATGATGGAATAATAGAATCTACGTTAGTCACAAAACCGTTGGTCAACCCGAGGAAAGCCAGCGTCCGAAGGTTAATTGGCGTAAAGTAGTGCGAAGGCATGCGGAGGTGTCAGGGGCCGTTGCGCATCACCAACAAATGCCTAAAACAATAATACGGCGAGAACCGTCGAAGGAGCCGAAGAGTACGGAGTAAGAATGGATGAAAGGGGACTGGCGGAGACACACAGACGTCAACCATGGAATTGGGCCGTGCGAGTCAGCCGGGAGAGAGGGGAACAGGAACGGATAGGAATTCTCCCCAAGATATGAATAAGAAGAAGAAACGGAGAGAAAAGGCGGACGACAAGCGGAGGGGATGGCCGTTAGGACGATCGCCTGGTGCTCGAGGTATGATTCTATGGACTTTTGTCGCTGTGCTGCAGTGCACCGTGAAAGGCATCCATTCCATCCTTCGCTTCTCCACTCACTGGGGCCCCCTAGTCACTGCCAATCAATCAGTGGACGCTGGTGGAGCAGCCATCAGGTGGTTGGAGGTGGGTAGGTAGGTAGTCCGAACACAGAGGAGTGAGATTGCATGGGAATAGTAGGGATATTTGACAAGAGGACCATTGAGGATGTGGTATGGAGCTGGATGGATGGGTGTACCTAGTAGATAGAATGATGATGATGGTGGTGATGGTGAGGAAAGAGAATACCCAAACAGGAAGGTGCCCAGTCAGCAACACTGTGTATCACGTGCCTCTACGCTAGTCCCGTTCGGGTGGCTCATCTCGTCCCAAAAGGGCAACCATCAACACTACCTACTACTCGTTGTTCACCTCCACCACCTTCACCTTCACCTTCAGCTTTACTATACTACCAACTCACTCTTCTCTATCCACCTTGATCTTCTCATTCTCTTCGTCTACTCAGCTCATCTCTGTATCCATCATGCCCTTCACCACCCCCCCTTCAATCCCGACCAAGGGCGGCACTGGTCTTACTTGGACACCCCCCGTGCTCCAAACTAACGCCAATGCGGTTCCTCACTTCCCCTCCGCCGGACAAGGGATTGGATCTCCTTGATGGACTGGTTTCATCACTTCCTCCGATCGCACATCCCCTGCTTCAGCCTGCGCCGAATGAGCTTCCTGCGAGGTCCGAGTCCGCTTCCTCCGCATTGTCCTCCACGCGCCCGCTTCAACACGAGCCTTCATTGGAGTCGGCCCTTTTCCCCCCTTTCTATCACTGCAGACCACAGTGCAGTCATGTTGGGTTTGTTTTTGTTTTGGTCTTTTCACCAGGCTGGGAGATCGCTAGATCCTTTTCTCTCCTTCTTGCCCGTCCTCTCCTCTCTCCCCATCTCTCCACCATAATCATCCGTCACGGCCCCCGGTTCACATCGAACCGTTGGTGCCTCACCATCAAACCCTGAAACGGCAGGACTTGACGCAGGCGATTGCCTCTGACGCCTATTGTCATGGCCTGCCTTGGTGCCTCCAATTCCCTGTAACGTTCCATCCACCAGGTTTGCATGTGTCTACCCGACTCGTGTTCGTCAACCGTCCGCTCCTTTGACACGCGCCCGTCCTTGACTACCCTGGTCCCCCCAGTCGTCCTAGTCTGCGTGTTTTTGCACCTCAATCTATTTCCATTCCTTCCATTCATCCTGTTGAATCCAGCGATTGTCGCCTTGACTCGGCCCTGAGGGCTTGGTCGTGTGCCAATGTCGAGCTCCTCGATCGTCTTCCATCAGGGCTTAAGATGTACCAAAGTTCCACGCAAGTCCAAGGCGATAGCCACCCCATCAACTTTCTCGCCAGAGTCGGCTACGTCGTTGCCCTCAGCTGCAACTAGTACATCTCTGTCGGACCCAGCTTCAACGCAGGTCCCAGCGGCGTTGAATGGCACCCCCACGTCAAGCACGTCGTCTACGTCGATCTCAGCGTCGGCATTACCGGTAGTTGCGACATCAGACACAACGACCACCACTGTAATCTCAACTGGCTCAATTACTGGTTTTGTATCTTCTCACACGTCTACTCAAACAACTTCCACTTGGTCCAGCGGGCTCGAGACACCGACGATACACACAGGGTCGCCTACCGGTCTTCTTACCCCAACTTTAACATCAGCCGGAATCAACCCTTTACAGACCAACGCCGATCGACACACTTCCGGCCCAGGCGACAACGATGCCTCGCAGGCCTCGCTCCGCACGCTCCTGGGCAGCGTCTTCGGGGGAATGGTGTTTATCGCTCTCGTCTTTCTCGCCTTTGTCCTGTTTTACTGCCGTCGGCGGCGAAAATCTCGCACAAGCTGGGCCTTCAGTCCTGCCGAGAAGCTCCTTCGCAGCGGCCGAGACTCTCTGAACTCCCCAACGAGCCCGCACAGCGGCCGCCACTCCAACACGTCTTTGTACTCCGACGGGTCCTCCATTCGCTCTCTGTACCACTACCTGGCCGCGCAGCAACCCTTGATGAGCAGTCCCATCACGGACCATCACGCCCGCCACTCCAACCCCTTCTCCGACACGGCCGCACTCCAACGCAGCTCGCTCTCCAGCATCGACGGTCATTCGCCAGGACTGCTCATCGACACCAGCGATCCGCCCCCCATGCAGCAAGCCGTCCTCCCCCGACGCGCCTTCTCCGCGGACTGGGGGACCGCTCGACCGGGAATCACAGCGCCCGAGTTTCCTTTAGATGCGGCCGACCAGGGGTCCATCCACAGTAGCGAGCGCAGTCTCGGTAGCACCGTCATCTTACCCGGTCGCAGCAGTATGGGCAGCAGCCTCCAGCGGTTCAGCTACCAGATGTCTCTAGGTGAACTGGGTGCCCAGGCGGGAGCGGCTGGGGCGGGTGCTCCCAGCGAGCCGGTCACACGCGTGAGCACCCGCAGTGACCCGTTTGATCTGGAGGTGCCCGCGAAGGCGATGCATCGACGGAGCTCGGGTGCGTTGCCCGGGGGGATCCTGCCACAGGTGTGATCGTCCGCTTGCCGTATGATTCTTACGATGGGTGTTTGGTTTGATTTGTTGAATTTCGGGTTTGGTCTCAAAAACGTTTTGGCAGGTATGAGATATGTGATACGATACGACCTATGATTTCTTTTGTTGGTGGTGCTACGGGGCGATAGTGTACTTGTAGTTGTTGGTTTGTGGACGATGTAACATAATGTTTGTATCATAATCAGTATTATGATTGCAATTGATAAGCTGCTTTAACATTGGGATGTGTAGTTATCGTGATATAGTTGCTAGAGTAGTGTGATATGGTGAGAGATATATATATGTGTGGCGGCGATTCGCAATGCAGACCACCACCACTTTGGTCAAACATTCTGCTGCGAATACTACTCACTTTATCTACAATTATATATATTGTGAAGGAGTATGGACAGATCTAATTCCTTCTTAAATCCAATCACCCTTGCCAACAGATCCAAGCCTATCTTGTGCCTAGAGACCTTTGGCCGACTATCTAGATCAAGGATATGTCTACATCTACTAGTCACCAGCATCATGCGGACGACTACGTACAAGTTTCACGCTCAGCCCGAAGTAAATTGCACTATCGTTACCATATGAGAACAAATCATAACAAGCCGTCTTGGAGGCAGCAGGTTGAGCAGGAACAGCACACGTAGGAACTGAGCCAGGAAGAGCAATGCACATAGACGCCAGCCATCATCTCAAATGACGGTCTATACCGGGCTAGGAGAAGATCTGACTCCCAAAGAGCACCCGACCGAAGCAACAAGAACAAGACGGATCCAACGCAACTCCCAGGTATCGGACGGAAAGCCAGAGGGAAGAAGAGGAAGGAAAAAAAGGAATTTTTTCATTGACCGGATATATTTGCCCGTGGGGTTTCGATCGAGGTGTTTTTTATTTAGGTGGATGAAATTTTGTTTCGCTCGATGTCATTATTTCCCTCTTTCTTGCCCAGTTGCGCATCATCTTCCCGCTCCCGTTTCAACCTCCGCACCGCCATAGAACGTCGTCGTTAAAACTTGAGAGTCGATAATTTACTCCTGAGCCTCGCCGGCCAGAGCGTTGCGCTTGGCCTCCAGGCGCTCCTGGCGACGCTCACGGAGAGCCTTGTTCTTGGCACGCTTGGCATCCATCTCCTCCTTGAGCACACGCTCACGGTGGCGCTCGGCCTTGGCCTTCTGGATCTGTACACGCAAGATGGTTAGTAGATGTACACGGAGCTGGGGTGCGTTGCGTCGAGGATAGGGTAGTGTTCGGCATTGTCCAGGCAGCGGCGACTTACGTGCTCGATGAGGGCGCGCTTGTGCTTGAAGGTGTTACCCTTGCTCAGGTGGTAGAGCTCGTGGTAGAGGTGCTTGTCGATCTTGCCGGCGGCACGGTAGCGGACGAGGAGACGACGGAGAACACGCATGCGGCGCATCCAGAGGACCTGGCTGTAGAGCAGAAAGAACACCTGTCAGCGACCGCGAACCAAACCAGCCTTCCATTCTTCATCTCCGTCTCGAACATGCACCATCCCCACCGTATCATCGTCGTCGTACGAATGAACGGTGGGACGGATGCATGCCTCACGATCCTTCATCACTGGTCGGGTCTGCATACCTGGGCATACGGGCCTCCTTGGTACCCTTACGCTTACCCAGACCGCGGTGTCTGCCGATTCTGCGGGCCGCGTTGAGCTCACGGGCACGGGAGCGGGAGTGCATGGTCACGGGCTTGCGGATGATGAGGCCATCGCTGACGAGCTTGCGGATGGTCTGGCGGGAGTTGGCGTTGGAGATCTCGGTCATCTCATTGGGATCGAGCCAAATCTTGCGCTTGCCGCAGCCCACCACGGAGGCGGCGAGGCGCTTCTGGGTGCGAAGGTTGACCCTATGTAGAAACCTCGGTCAGTGGGAATGTCCGTAGGAAGAGAAAAACTGGTGGTGGTGATGGTGGCAGTCGGCGGCACAACATAGGGAGAAAATTCCCTCCACGGCCAGAAACGACAGGAATACAGTCTCCATCGGAAGGACAATATTTCCCCTGGGCCATAGACAAAGGCAGAACGAAAAGATGGACTCACATCTTGATGTCGGCGTATCGACGGTCGTTGGCGGATGATGTTCGTTGCACTCGGTCGACGGGGTTGGATTTCGCTGGGGAAGTCGAGTTTGAGATACGGGCGGGTTGATTAGCTAAGCCACTGTGCTGCTAAGCGAGAAAATCCACGGTTAGGGCTTGAGCCCCATCAGCATCAACGCCCGACTGTATACGATGTAGGTAAGATTATTACAGTGTTAAAAGTGTTGACTAACACGCATTCATTATCATGATCACATACAGACCTGCTTTCTAGCATTCTCATCCATGTAGAGCTGTCGACGCGAGGCCAACTCGATGTGACCCCAGCACGCTTAACTAGGAGCTGACTAACACACGTGACCGTAGGGTTAGGGCAACTCCCATACAGACCGAAGTATGTATACCGAGTACGAACAACAACTTTTCCTATACACACCCCAACCACAGGGTATAGATCTAGCTCTTGTAACATCGCAGAGCAGAACTAGATGCAAAGAAATCAACCAGTCATAAACAATCAATCGTCAAACGACGACTCCCCCAGATCAACCTTTCCAATGCTCCACAATTCCTTCTCATCATCCACCTCATCATTGGACAGGCCCAGTCCTCCCTGTCCACCTTCCGCCTCCTTGCGCTCACGGGCTTGGTTCGCCAGTCGCACTGCAACACGCTTGAAGTAGTCCGACATGCTCCGTTTCGGCCCCGGAGGCAGCTCCGCGCCCGGCCCGGCCATGTACTTGTCGAACACTGCGCTCTCGGACTCAACCACAGAGAACAGTGACAGGAAGGCGGCTTCGGCCGCCAGCTTGACGGGGATGACCACGTCGCGAACGCTGGCGAATATGGGTGGCGCCAGAAGCGCCAGGTGAGGCCGCGTCAGTTCGGGGTGCAGCCGACTGACAGTTCGGATCACGACCAGAACCAACCGCCTCGTGTCAGAAGGAGCGCCGGGCTGGATGCATGGCGCCAGAGCCTCGAAGATCGCCTTGTTTGACTCGAAGCTGCGGTGTTCGTCTTCGACCAGTAGGTACTTACCAGCAGCCAGGACGCTGTTGTCAGAGATGAAGGGCTGCACAGTCTTCATTAGTAATGCCTTCGTAAGATAGACCGAGATAGAACTACTCACATCCTTGTGAGCGATACCCTGACAGATGATTGAGTGGGTCTCAGCTGCAAAGTTCTCGGTCAGGATTGTCGGAGACTCGACCAGCAAGGCGTTGAGTCCCAGAACAGATGCATGCGTGAAATGCGTTGTAAGGACGCGGTTCCTAGATTGCATATCCGTTAGACATCCCCTGCACCACATTAAAAGAACAACAGCATGGACTTCGCGTACTTGATGAGCGGGCCTGACGTCGCAGGCGGCAGGACCTTGACAAGCGCACCAAGGAGTCGCGCGTTGGTGATAGACACAGCGTCTATTGTACAGTCAGTCGTAGAACTTAACGCAGAGTCGAGATAACACACCTGTCTGGTCACTAGCATCATCATCAATAAGCGCAAGGATAGCGTTCTTCGAGGCCTCGCTCATGTTGGAGCCAGCCTTGCCAACGACTTCTTGGAGAGCCTTCATCATGGCATTCCGCACGCCAACGTCCGGCGTCTTGGTACCAGTGATAAGCTCTGTTCACAAATCAGTGTCTGTTGGATATAGCCATGACAAACAAGATCTTACCTGCAATGAGGGGATCGACTCTGGGGGTCAATGTGATCAGGATACCAAGACCCTTGGCGGCTCTGTTGCGCAGGGTCTCGCTGGTCGTGTCGGCCAAACCTCGAGCGAATGTACGCTGGAGCTGGGGCAGGAAGGGCTTCACGGCCAGTGGGATCTTCTCCAACAGCTTGTTGAGTGTGAAGAAGATAGCACCTAGTAGATCAATTTAGACTCGTCCTGACGGGAAGTATTTCAAGAACCTACATTTGATCTCCACAGAGCGCTCGGAAACGACTCGAATAAGAGGACCAGTAATCTGGGTGACAAATGGCTTCAGGAAATCGGCGCCTGTGCGGTCGATGATATCGCCAATGGCTAGAGCAGACTGCGTACGCTGCTCCACACTGCCGTTGAGAAGACCCTGCAAGAAGATCGGTAGGATTGCCGTGATACCCTTGGGCAGGCAGAAACCAGGAAGGTCTGCGCCAGCAACACCAACCCCCTTGAGGACCTGGCGCGTGGGGATCGCCAGCACCTCCATTTCCTCTTTGCGCAGGTGGGAGGTGAGTCCGCTCATTGCGGCCCAGGCAGATTTGACAACCTCCTTGTCTCGGTCGTCGAACGAAATAAGCAAGGCGCGGATCAGGTCCGGGTAGTATCTAGAGAAGTCGATTTCAGATTCGGCAAAGAACTTCTTGAGATGCACGGCTGCCTGAGCACGGCGGTTATGATCGTCGTGCTTCATCAGTGTGAGCATGGTGTTCATGATGGCGTTAAGACCATCGTATTCATCCACGGATACAAGGATCGTGTCGAACGCGCTGTTCAGTTCCTCGCGGTGCTCCTCATCCTTGGTGGAAAGGATATCGTCCATGAGGGCATTGAGAATAGTGGGCAATCTGCGAGTCATCGCAGAGCTTGCCACTTCGGCAAGAGAAGCAAGTGCCTTGGCATTGAACGACGAGATAGGCGAGGTGAGCAGTGTCGGAATGAGGTTGGGAAGGATGATGTTGGCCCGCGTCTGCTCCGTGAGGAGAGTCAACAGGGCAGACAGAGCCTGCTCAGCATCTTCATCATTTCTCAGAAGGAGTAGAAGGTGAGGCAGAACTTGATCAACAGCCTTCTTGCCCAGGATCTGTTGCAGGGCATCGAAAGCCTCAGCGGCAGCCTCACGGACATCCTCATCGTGATCAACCAGCGCCACACGGACGGTCGAGATGAGCACCTTCTCATAATCCTCAAGGGCTTCGGGCGATGCGGAGGTGATAAGCTCTCTAAGAGCAATGCAAATACCCTGTTTGACGTCCACATCGGGCGAGGTCTGAAGACCATCCTCGAGAGAGGGCAGCAACGTAGCGAGCACAGATTCGCCAGCCTTCTTGATAAGGTCTCCAAGCGCGTTGCTTGCGATGACCTTGTGCTCCATGTTGGAGGAACCGAGGCGCCGGATGATGAGCTGGGAGAGGGTGGGCACCATCTCCTTGAGGGTCTTGGGAGAAGCGACCAAAGACTTCCACACGGCCATGGCCGCACTCTTGACCAGACCAGAAGTATCGCAGCGGCAAATGAACAGCGCAGACAAGACCTTGTTTCTCCGTTCCTCTCCAAGGACTTCGAGCAAGGACTGTCCTGCCTGGTGGGCCTCCTCTTCCTCCTCTTCGGCATCCGCCTTGGCGGTGATACCAGTGATGCTGAAGAGAAGATCTCCGACCAGCTCCACGGAACTCAACCGGATGCGGTAACTGTCATCCGCAAGACCGCGCTCAAGCTCTGGAAGAAGGAGATCGATAGCCTTAGAAGAGAAGTTCTTGACCAGAAGGCGACCGGCTCTGAGTGAGGTCTCACGAATGGAATCAACATCATCAGCCAAACCAGCGAGAATAGGAGGAATAATTCTGCCGAGGTAGGTAGCAAAGCTGTTACCGAAGCAGGCGGGAAGGAAGATGAAGAGAGTCATGAAGCCTTCACGAACAGCGGGCTTCGAGCTGGACACATTCTGCAAGATGGTTGGGAGGGTCTCTTCCAGTCTGGTCGTACCCAAGCCCGCAAGAACCTCGGACAGGGCTTGAGCAGATCCCAATCTATCACCAGCACCGGTATCAGACTTGAGAGTAGACATAAGGTTAGGAATGAGATCAGGCAGAGCATCCTCCCCAAGCTTCTCAACAAGCGAGCCGAGAGCCTTGGAGGCGGTAGCACGAGTTGTGGGCACCGGATCCACAATGGCAAGCTGCAATCCGGAGACGATAATAGGCAAGTGCGCGGTAAGGTCCTTGCGCTCAGTAAGATGCGCCAAGCTACCAATAATTTGGGCAGACTTCCTCTTGGTGTTTGATCTGTCGCTAAGACCGCGCTCAAGAATACGAACGACGAGAGCCAGAGAAGGAGCATCCAGATAATGGACAAATGACACCTTGATGAGGGAGTCCAGGGCCTCATCGGTAAACTTCGTGGGATCACTGAGCGCCTTGAGGAGAACACTGACCAGACTCTTGATCTCAGGGTTACTGATGACTTCTCCGAACCGCTGAAGACTGCGGTTCGCAGCGTTACGGACCTCCTTATGTGTGTCATTGAGGACCACCGTAAGGGGAGGAATAATGTCAGGCAAGCTAGCCGCCAGTTGCTGTGGGTCGAGATAGGCCATGGCACCGAGAAGATCACAGGCTCCCTTTTGACTACGCCATTGCGTATCGTCGAGTCCATCCAGAAGTGTAGGAAGAATCTGCTTCACACCGTAAGAGCTGAGGTTGGAGAAGCACGCCTTTGCCGCGTCAAGGCAGGCATCGCGAACGTCTGCATTGACATCTCCAAAGAGGGCCAGCAGCTGAGGCACAATCTTGATGACGTAGGGTTCAAACGTGCGGCCAAGGATAGTAGCAAAAAGTTCGTAGGCCAACAGGGCGCCTTGTCTTTGATGCGGCTCCTTCTTATTCTCAGTGGCATCCTGCAGATGCGCCATAATTCTGAAGTCGCGGAGGGTAGAGATACCTCTGCCCTTCACGATACCCGCAAGACCATAGGCTGCACCACGCTGGGTGGCGTACTTCTTGGTCTGAAGCAGCTGATCCATCATTTCCTGGACGTATCCTGCATTCTGGGAACCAGAAAGTCTGATTAGAGGCGGAAGACATCCCGAAACAGCAGACTGCACACTCTCAGAAGGAGTGGGAAGAGTAGCAAGGAGTCTCTTGATGACCGTCTGCAAGCGCGGATCGTCTGCTTTCAGATGGCGAGCTAGAGATCCATAGAGAACAACCACTGCTTCATTGAGCAGGTCAGAGGTTTCGCTTCCCTTGTCCGATGTCTCTAATGTAGTCTCCAAGAGCTTCATCAGTTCCTCAACCTTCTCTTGGCCACGCGAGGCGATGACGGATCTACCACTGTCGGCCATCTGGGTTCTGACGGTGGAGCTGCGGTCGATGAGGGGGCCTCTCTCGATCAGGAATCTGAGGAACTCAACAATCTGGTCGCCTTCAAATCCATCGGTCATGGCACTGAAGGCGAGCGCAATACCGCTACGGAATTCCCAGTGATCGGTCAAGTCCATCTTAATGGGCATGCCATACTTGTCCTTGGCAGGCTCTTTGGGCCTCGCTTCGAATTCATACTTGGCCTGCAGTTCCGAGACAATCTTGCCAAAGACTGATGGATTGGACTCGATAGCATGGGCCAAGGCACGAGCAGCAGCACCGCGGAGTTGAGAGTCCTGGGACGCAAGGTATGGTATAATCTTCTCGTAAGCCGTCTCATCCACTTCGAGGGCGTTCTCTTCCCAGATCGTCTCGGCGATTTCGGCATTTTCCTCCACATGGTCGTGGCATTCCAGCCAGATGTGTTCGGAAAAGTCAAGGTCCGTCAAGTCAATTTCAGTGGAAATGACCTGCAAAACAGATGTACGCACCGACACGTCGGAGACAATGGTGCCCTTGAGAAGAACAGTGAGTTCATCCATGGTGATGTTCGGTGAGACACAGCGGCAGAAATCAAACAGAGTTTCCTTAATGAGTTTGTAGTGCTGAGTGTATTTCTGCATTGCCGTAAGCAATTGGTCGAGGCTCTCCAAACGAGGCAGACGTTCGTCGGCAACTGATATTGGTCAGAAAGAGTATTGTCATCCAACATGTTAACTGAATGCTTACAGGATCCCGCATGGAACTTCAAGAACTCGAGAGCAAGCAGAACTTGCTCGCCCTCCTCACCCTTGACTTCTTCAATGCCGTTGCGATTCAAGACCAAGAAAATCAACGGCAGAATGTAGGCCAAAGAAGTCGTCTCAAAGGGGCGACTGTCGGATGCGAAACGCAGACGATACAGGATTCTAGTCACCAATTCTGCACACTAATTAGCTTCCGTCTTTTGCCCACGAAGGATCTAGATAGCTTACGTCCAAGAGGCTCAACTTCCATTTCAGGAGGAAGTTGACTCTGCCCAATGGCACGGAGCGTTGCGATACCAACGAACGATCGCAACGGCCCGAGACGAGTTGACAGTTTGTCAGCGCATTTGATATACGCCTTCGAAACCACATCTCCGGCGAAAATTCCGACACCTGCCTGAGCCAGAGACAACAAAGAGCCAACTGCCGTGTTGATCCAGCCTTCCGCTTCGACACCGGGTCCACTAGCCAGACCCTGAATGATGCCGGCCCCTCTTTCGATTCTCTGAACCTCACGGAGAACGTCTGCGCGGATTTGCGCCTCCTTAGCCAGCTGAGCCTTTACCTTGGATTGCTCGTCAGGAGACAGCTTCTTCTGCTTCTGACCTTTTTTCTCGGCCAGCTGCGCTCGGAGCTCTTCTTCCCATTTGAGAATGTCGTAGTCCTTGGAATTTTTGTCAAATGCACCCTGCTTGGACTTGGTGCTAAGGACATCAACGAACATGGTGCCCTCTGGGGTACGGGCGATGGCAGCATCGGTTGGCGTGAACTTCGACAGACGGGAGGCATCTAGATCATCGCTGATCTGCTTGACGAGCAGAGGAACCATGGTGTCCGGGGCCACGAATGCCAGATCTCCGGCGGCGCTCCACAGAGCAGCCTCGATCTGGGGTACTTTAGACTTCACTACGTCCTGCAGGTTGTTAATGAGATTTTAGTATGGCAGTAGGGTAGGGGCCCTCATACATCGTGCACCTGAGTCAATTGCTTCATGCAATCATCAGGGAACTCGCGAACGAGGTTTCCAGGATCAATGCCACTTCGCAAGCATAAGGCAATCCAGGAAGTGCTTGGAATCAACTCTTGCCGACAGAGAACAAGGAGCTCGACGAACTGCATCTTCAAGTCTGCGATCACATCGTCCGATTTCTGCACATCAACAGGCAGGGGAGAAATCGCCTTCGTGACTAGATGTAAGAAACGCGAGCTCTCCAGCCCGGCAGAGACCGGCGCAGATTCTTTCTCGCCGGTGCGGAGGGCAAGAATCCAGGCCCAGAGAGCGTCGATCACGATGTGGCCCATGCTCTTAACGTTTCTAAGATGGACACTTGACAGTGTAGCAGCTGATTGGTCCCTGAAGTTCGTATGGACACCGGGTACGGAGATTGTGAAGATGAACGCCTGGCCCCATGCGGTTTTAGCTGCCTCTTCGGCCTTCTCAAACTTCGCACTGGTTGCAACAGCGGCCAGGGCCCGAACCACCCATTGCACTTCCGCTTGAGACGTCAATTTCGTATACGCCTTCGGGTTTAGAAGGAAAGACGGCTTCGGACTGAGTACCATCGTTTGGGTGACAGTCTCCTCCCAAGACGCCTTATCAAAGCCCTGTACGGACGACAGTCGCTCCGCGATCGCGAGGAACACATACGCGGTTGACAAGGTCCCGCTCTGTGCGGAGGGCAAGGGATTTGATGCCACTTCCTTAAACAGGTCCTTCATCTTGCTGATGAACTTGTTTGAGAGGGGCTCGATCTCGGGAGTGACCAGCGTCGAGGCATCAGCGCGCCAGAAGACCTCACCGACATTGAGCTGCCAGAGCTTCCGAAATGGAACGCGCTTCTCCGCCGCTCCTTTGACAATGGCGTTTGCCACATCATCGCTGATTTTAACCTTGGATTGAACCAGGAAAGTCAGGTGCTTGCAGAAAGTAGCGATCTCCTGCTCCAGAGCAGCCTCGTTGGCCTCCTTAGAAAGAACAGGAACAAAACCTTGAATCACGTCCTTGGAGACCTCGACAGAGGGGTGGATGGCCGAAAGCGCCTGGGCATAAGCGGCGCGTTGCTCTGGGTTCGTGATTTTTTGCGTCTTGAGAGGGCTAATGACCTCGCCCGCAATTTTCACCAGTAAGGTCTCGTTCTTCGATTTCGCAAGCAACGATTCGAAGGAGTTGACGGCGCCTTGTCTGATGGCGGCATTGTTCGACTTCATGCTCGAGAGCAGGTGCTTCAACAGCCGGGACTGCAGGACTTCGGACAAGTCGATCTGAGCGGGTAACGCGGAGCAAAGCGAGGGCACCAATCCGCTGAAAACCACCTCGGGTGACCGCAGGATGGACTTCTCAAGCGGAGGGATAACCTCAGATGTCAGATCTTCATAGGAAACGAAGTCGACAAAGAAGTCGAACAAGGAGCTGGCGATATGGGCCGGCGGCGCCGTCTTGGAACCCACTAGCTCTTTGACGTAGAACGCCAGAATTGCCTTCTTCTCCTCCTCCTCAAGAATAGGCTTCCGGGACGGGAGACGGGCGCAGACTCCGGAAATGACGCCGAGGAACGGTGCATTCTTCTGTCCGGTGGCCGAATCACTGGTCAATCGACGGACCGACTGGCGGACGGCCTCCTCCCCATACTTCTCCGATGAAAACACCGCTCGCAGAGCACGCCGGGTGACCCGGAGAGCTGACTGCTTCACGGCAGGTCTTGGGCCCGCCGCAAGACAGGTCTCCAGCGCTTTCGCATCCACGGCGAGTATGTCCAAAACGACCGCAAGCTGGGTGTCGGGGTCATTTCGCAAGATCTGTAGCACGGCCGAGCACCACTCGAGCAGCACAAAGGCGGAACTGGAAGCTAGACCGGGTTTGGAGGCCTCCGCCTGGAGTTTCTGGGTGAGGTACTTGACGTCGTCGGTCGGAACGGGCGCCTTCAGAAGCGGCCGGAGGCATTGCTGGGCGGCATGACGAGAGGCACGGTCGACGTAGAGAGGGTAGGTCTGAAAGAGAAGGCCAATGAGGGCCTGATGGGTTTCTGGGGGAAATTCAGACCCTGTGGCAGTCAGTCGCCGTCGCAGGCTTGCATGGAGGGGCGGGAATGAAGCGACAGACCGATTCGATCGCGGAGATCCTGGAGAGCACGAATTCTACGAGAAGTCGAACTCGAGAAGAGAACGACCCGCAGAGTCTCCAGGTCTCCAGCTTTCACCTGATCCCATGGAAAATCGTCCATGTTAGGTGTGCGGGAGCATGTCGGAGAAGAGAGGGATTCGTGGTGGGAGAGGAAAGAAAGAATAATATGGTGAGGTGGTTCGGCGCTTTACTGCCTTGGGTCTCCGCCGCGGACAACTCGATGCTGTCATAAAACTTTTCGTCCGCATTCCCTTTCGTTCTTCAATCCGCTTCACCCACAGCTCATTTTCAACGTCTACTGCATGACTCCCAATTAACCTCCTTTCTCTAGATTCGTCATGCCGCCCAACAACAAGAAAAAGAAGAAGCCCGCCGCCAATCCAGCTAGAGGGTTCGCTACCGTTTCGGTGCCCTCCAAGCCAAAATCCACTGACACTACAGCTCCTACGTCGACGGTCGAATCCAAGTCGGTCTCTGAGAGTGAGCGACCAACCCCAGCCGAGAAGAACGAACCCACCACGGAGACACAGCAGTCGTCATCGCTGCAGAATTACTCCCCCGAGGAGCTCGAGCGACACCTGGAGGACGCGGAACTACAACTGCTAGTCGAGAAATATGCATCCAAATGCAAGAATGATGCCGCCCGGCAGGCCTCCAAGCTGGAAACCGAGCGACGAGTTTTCCGGCAACAAGCTGTGTCTCTCAGCTTGTTGGAGTGGTTGCCCGCCGAAGTCCTGGATACAATACTGAGCCTGGCGGAGACGGAAGAACGCGAACTGAGTCCCCTGTCAGGACGAGACCTGAACGGGTCGAAGAAGCCTGGCTCCGAAGAGGACCTGTACATGAGACTCTGGACGTTGAAGGAGACCCTGCTTAGGCTGGGCTTTCCGGCCGAAAGAGTAGAGGAGTCGTTAAAACATCTATTACTCTATTTTTCTGGTAATTTTGCCACTTCCAATAGGGACATGGTGTGTAATCTCGACGAGGCCCTCGACTGGCTCGCAATGCACTGCGGTCTCGACGAACTGCCGTCCTACACCCAGACGGGGGCCCAAATACGCAAAGACGAAAAGAACATTTCCTGGATCTCTGGTAAACCTAAGTTGAGCATTGCGCTGTGACTGGAGAGAGCTAATGAGCACCAGATTCTCAGCCAGCGCAATCTTCTACTCCCAAATTGACCCAGGATGATAGCAAGCCAAAGCAAGCCAAAAGCACAGTAAAGGCGGACCTGCCCCCGGCCTCGAGCCCTTATGACTCTGATAGCTCTTTGGATCCGGATACCTTACTGCCGAAATACTTGGAGCTCCAAACTCGGCTGTATAACCTCCAACCTGAAATCTTCGATAAGCCGAAGAAAGGGAAGAGGTCCGGCCGCGAGAAGACTGCTAGCGCCAGTGCGGAGGACCCGCAAGTAGCTAGCCTTCAGCGAAAGATCGCTAGCATTGAGAATGACGTGCTCTTTGACAAGGCAGAAGCCGAGTACCGGTGGAGAGAGAAGCTGGACGACCTCAGGAAAGAGGCAGCCTTTCTGCGACAGTCTCAGCCGAAAGACAAGCCGGAGCAAGATGATACCAAGGAGGCCGGAGAAAAAGAGCCGGAGAACAGTGTTCCACTCATGGATGAGGATGAGACTGCGGACCTCCTGGGCGATATGTTCCAGGCCGAGGAGCCAACGTTAGAGAGTGGGGTGATTCTTGAGGAGCTGAACAAGGCCGTTCTGAACATGCGAGATTTCGGTAAATGGACGGGACTCAACCCTCGGAGAGTTCTGGAGGAGACCTGCAAGGCAAGGTATGTGATTTCCCTCAAGGAACGATGCTCAAGAGCTGAGAGTTTCACTTTAGGGACACCGGATGTTCCGTCAAATACAAGGACTTTTCTTCCTCTAGTCATTCCAACCGCCAGGCTGTTGAGGTGAGATGGACGAAGCCTCAGGAGCCTCCTTTCGCTCTCGAGTTGGAGCATGTGACGCTCAAGTCCAGTCCCTATGCTACATTCGTGTCAATGGACACGTTAGCAACTCCTACATCCCAGCAAGCCGAAGCCTTCGTTTCCACGGTGGCACTCTTCATCATTTCTTCGCAGAACTCTAAGGAGAGCAAATCCTATGTCCGCCTACCTGCGGTTTGGAGAGATTTTTGGACAGAATTGGCGAATGTTAAGAAGCTCCAAGAGGATGAGGTTGACAAGAAGACGGTCAAGGACTTGAAACAGCTAGTCCAGGAGAATCATGGCGCGTTCGAGGATGATGTTGTTCTTTCAGATAACTTCCGGAGAAGAAATGGCACACCCAGCAAGACGGATGTATTATCCAAGGCTGTGAACGGAAAGGACTCCGGTCCAGATGACCAGCTGCAGAAACTGTGGGCAGACAAATCCTCTGCCGCCTCTTTCCAGCGGATGATGCAAGGCAGAATGAATCTGCCAATCTGGGACTTCAAGCAACAGATCTTGAGTACTCTTGACACGCACCACGCTCTTATCATCTGCAGTGAGACGGGTAGTGGTAAGAGTACCCAGATTCCCTCCTTCATCCTGGAACACGAAATGCAGCAGGGTCGTCCGTGCAAGATATACGTGACCGAGCCGCGGCGAATCTCTGCTATTTCATTAGCACGGCGTGTCAGCGAGGAACTAGGGGAAAGCAAGAGTGATGTTGGGACGGCCCGCTCACTCATTGGTTTTGCTGTTAGACTGGAGAGCAAAGTGAGCCAGTCTACAAGATTGGTCTTCGCGTACGTATCCCGCAGGCATCAAGGGTTGGAGTTGTGACTGACTTTTGCAGAACCACTGGAGTTGTGGTGCGGATGCTAGAGCGCCCGGAAGACTTCCAGGACATTACGCACGTCGTTCTCGACGAAGTTCATGAGCGTTCCATCGACAGTGACTTTTTACTGATTGTCTTGCGTCGCCTGATGCAAAAGCGACCAGATCTGAAACTGGTGCTTATGTCGGCTACGCTCGAGGCTCAGCGTTTCTCCAACTACCTCGGCGGGGTCCCTGTGCTCAATATCCCTGGACGAACATTCCCTGTGGAAACGAAGTTCCTGGAAGACGCTATTGAATTGACCGACTATCGGCTCTCGGAAAACGAGACTAATGCCAGCTTCGACGAAGATACTGAAGATATGGCTGCGGAAACCGCCGAAGGTGACACCTCTGGAGGCCTGCTGCCAACACTCGATCGGTACTCGAAGCAGACGCGCGAGACCGTTCTCAACTTCGACGAGTATCGGCTCGATTATCAACTGATCAAGAGGTTGCTGATTCAGATTGCTACGGTTCCGGACATGGCACAGTACAGTAAGGCGATCTTAGTGTTCATGCCGGGTATGGCGGAGATTCGCCGTCTGAACGATGAGATTTTGTCCGACCCTACTTTCCAGACCGGATGGATTGTGCATGCGCTGCATTCGTCTATTGCCAGTGAGGACCAGGAGAAAGCGTTCATTGTGCCGCCGGAGGGTATGAGGAAGATTGTCATTGCCACCAACATCGCAGAGACAGGTATGTTGATCTGCAGTGACTGGTCGATCTACTGTTAACTTGCCTAGGTATTACGATTCCGGATATCACTGCCGTCATCGATACTGGGAGAGAGAAGACCATGCGGTAGCTACAGTCCCTCCGTATGCTCCTACTAGCAAGCTAACATATCTCAGGTTTGACGAGCGACGACAGCTTTCAAGGCTTGTGGAGATGTTTGTCTCACGAGCCAACGCAAAGCAGAGACGGGGCCGAGCCGGTCGAGTGCAAGAGGGCATCTGCTTCCACATGTTTACGAAGCACCGACATGACAAACTGGTATCTACTCCCGTCGCAGTGATCAATGGCTGGCACTAACAGCGGGCAGCTCGCAGAGCAACAAACGCCCGAAATGCTCCGGCTCTCCTTGCAGGATTTGGTTCTGCGTGTCAAGATTTGCAAGCTGGGCGAGGTGGAACATACACTTCTTGAGGCTCTGGATCCTCCCTCCTCCAAGAACATCCGTCGTGCGATCGACGCTCTAAAGGAGGTGAAGGCGTTGACCAACTCGGAGAACCTGACGCCACTGGGCATGCAGCTGGCCAAACTGCCGCTGGACGTGTTCCTCGGAAAGCTGATCATCCATGGGGCGTTCTTCAAGTGTCTAGATGCTGCCATCAGTATCGCCGCGATCCTTTCTTCCAAGTCGCCGTTTGTCAACACCATGGGTTCGAATACGCAGAAGGACCTGGCACGACTGTCCTTCCGCCGAGGTGCGTGATCCACACCATTTCTTCTATGCAACACTCTAACAGATGATCGCAGGCGACTCGGATCTCTTGACGGTATACAACGCATACTGCGCGTGGAAGCGGACGCGCAGCACGCCCAACGTGAACGAGTACACGTTCTGCCGCAAGAACTTTCTCAGTTCGCAGACGCTGCTGAACATCGAGGACATCAAGATGCAGCTCGTTGTGTCTATAGCGGACACTGGCCTGCTGAAGCTGGATCCCACGCAGAAGACCGCCTTGAACAGGTGCGACCCCATCCACGCCCCCCAGAATCTTATATAACTAACCCGCCGCAGAGCCCGATCCGGCGGCCGCCAGCGGCAATTCTTCACCATCCCGGAGGAATACGACTCGAACAGCGGCAACGACGCGATCGTCAACTCGGTGATCTCGTGGAGCTTCTACCCGAAGCTGCTCACGCGCGAAGGCAAAGGCTGGCGCAACGTCGCGAACAACCAGACGGTGACACTGCACCCGACGTCGGTGAACAAGCAGTCGGACGCGGCGACGGTCAAATGGGTGTCGTACTACCACATCATGCAGGGGCGCAACCGCAACTACCACGCGTTCGAGACGAGCGCGGTGGACGAGTTCGCGATCGCGCTGCTGTGCGGCGAGGCCGAGTTCAAGCTGTACGCGGGGGTGATCTCGATCGACGCGAACCGCATCCGGTTCGCAGTGCGCGACTGGAAGAGCATGCTGGCGCTGAAGGTGCTCAGCGCGCGGGTGCGCGAGATCCTGGCGGCGACGGTTCGCGATCCGCAGAAGCGGCTGTCGTATAAGCAGCGCCAGTGGATGGATATCTGGCAGCAGATTTTTGCACGGCGGGCGTAGGTGCTCGATACGTACGCACCGACACAGGCGTTCAGCATTGATCTTGGGTATGGCCGTGACTAGGATAGGATTAGTGGGGACGGTACTGGAGGCATGAGTGTTACTCGTTATGACATGATAGAATAGACGATGCAAGATGAATGGGCATACGGACACTGTATATAGATGTCCCACGACGGATCCATAGGTAGATAAGTACCACTTACGCTACGGCCTACATGCTCGTTGTCACCTCACACGAGAGCTCACATCGGCTATCGACCGCAGAGGATTCCACGAGGCCGCTGTAATGCTGTGTTCGCGTCTGCAGTGATCGACTGCACGATATGGTTGTGCCGTGCAGTCGTAGCAGATACATACCGTCACCATCACCATCACGAATACCACCACAACCACAGACGAACCGACAGACAGATAGACAGCATGTGCAATCGACCACAACAACAGAGAACAGACCGCGGGGGCCTCGCAACAACCCCATCCTCCTCCCCAGACTCTACCTCCGCCCGACAATCCAAGACCGCGACAAGCGGTAAACCCCCCTTGCGTCGAGGACAAGTGTACAACGCACCAGCATCCATGTCTGGAAGGCCATGACGTGCCCCGGTCACACAGCGTTGAGCGTCCGTTGCAGACAGACGGGCAGGCAGCAGGGAAGCCGTCGACGCTCGGTTCTCTTCGTTCCGGAGGGGAGGGCAGCCGGAAAGGGAAAAGAGGGGGGTCAGAAAAAAAGACGGTGAAGAGAGCGGTCAATCAGTGGCTGGCTGATCATGGCCGATGGGGGAAGGATTTTCTATCGGTTCGACAGACTTGAGATTGAGTTGCTGTGCTGCAAGACATTTCTCGTTCTGGGTAGGGAGGATGGTTGTTGTATGTCATTGTTGAGGTGCATGGTTTATTGCTTCGGTGCAGGGTGCAGCAGATATTGTCTGCCGTTGAGATCGGGTTGGGACATACATGGGCATATGGGCATACATAGACGTACATGAGATTGAGGATAGAGACTCGTGACTGAATCAGACCGATAGTCTGGAGTGGCTATTTACGGAGTACTGTAGGTAGATATCTATCTATTGTATGTATGATATCCCCATATGCAGCCCATAGAGAGATATATATTTAGGATGGAGACGCCATCTAGTATAGGGAAGAATCCACCACGACCCGATCCTACACTCGCATATGCACCACGGGTCGTTGCAGCTGAAACGGAGACCAAGGGGCCAGACCAGAGATCCCAGAGGACCGTGAGGATCCAGAGGATCCAGAGGGTCCTGAGGAGATCCTGAAAGAATCATGATTTCACCCCGGCGTTGATCGGATCGTGCGGTTAGACCTTCTGGACGGACTACGGAGGTCTGTCCTCTGTCAAAGGGGCAAATGAATGAAAACAACAAAACAAGAAACAAAATAAATACAGTAAACAGAAACAAAATAAAATAAAACAAATAAATAATAATAATTAGAATAATAACAAGTCGGTTCGCTACATCAGTGTCGCCCGAACGAACAACCCACTACGTGGTCGCTCCCACCGCCAGTCGATCGGCCATCGACATCCACCTCGGCCATTGCAGAATCCGTCTCCCCACCAATCGTCCTGCCCGCCCCGAGGGTCCGTGGTTCTCCTCCGTCTCTGGTCCGGAGCCCTCTGTACAGCTAGCTACAGGGATGTAACTATTTGTTTTCTTCTTTCGTCGTCGCGGGTTTGTCCCAATCGGGTTGGTGGTGACCGACCAATGCCCTGCTCGATGCCATCATTCGTGCGACCCTCCATCGCCTCTATGAACGAAGACGACGCTGCGCCGAGATGAATGGAGGAGTCGCCCAGTCTCTCCATTCGGTAATAACACTCCTGATCCTGCGATCGCTTTCCGCGAGCCACTGCAACAGGCAGGTCAACCGTCCGCCCGCCGCCACCCACCCCCCCGATCGTGCAGTCGATCTCTGTGCACGGGTAACTACGGAACATGCAATGTAAGGTTAATTATCCGCGTGCAGCTCGGTCGAGCGGTCGGGTCCGCCATGGACGGATACGACGGCGACCGTCCGTCCATCGATCCATCAGTCCATCAATCCTATTGTCGGAGCGAGGTTGCCCTCTCCGGCGTAAGGTGAGGCGTCCGGGCTAGGTGAATGATTGGCTGGAGACCGTCCAACTAGCCAGGCGCTCAGGATCAGTTGGCAAGCGAGATGGGCGCCGTGGCCAATGGTGGGTTCGTTGAGGGGCGCTCGGGGGCCGGTTTCATCTGCTAGCTCTAGCTGTATGACCATGGCCACGACCATGACCGAGGAGTCCAGATTCCACAGGACAAAGTACCAACATACAACTGCTAGTCGTGGCCAGATTCTAGAAGGTGGTACGATGGTGAGGTGGCAGTTACACATCAAACACCAGTGGGTAGAAGTGTGATGGGAGTCTGGGATGGACGGAAAATACCCCAGACATGCAGGAAAGCACCGGATCCCGTCCGAAGCCCCGACGACGCTGCCAAAGCCCGGCGCGTACGAGAATCGATTCGTAACCGGTCTGCCAGACGTCAGGGACCGGCCCTGGATCGTGGAGGATTACTCCGAGAAACGTCAGATGCACGGTACCTGCTTCCTGCGATCCGACTGGGCAAATGGGGTGAAGAACGAGAGTGATTGCGGACCGCGAGACGATGCAGAGGGCTGCAGGTACGCTTTTGCTCTTTGCGTTGGGTGACAGCCATCTCCGAGTTAGTAGAGTAATAGTCGTCCTCGCATATACATGAGGATGTGACTCGGTTGATCTTGACCAGACCTATGATATGTCCATGTCAGCCCTTGGATCACCCTTGGATCACCCGAAGTTTCCCCTCAAATTAGCGAGGATTCTTCTAGTTTTTAAAGAAGCGCTGAACCCGCCGTGCATTTACGCAGTTGGTCCTAGCTCTGTCCTTGGCGGCTGACCAGCTGTCCATCAACCGTCGAACTAGTGACTTAGCGGCGGGCCTGGTGTCCGTGTTGCCTTGGAAGTCACTGGAGGCCGGAGGCCGGAGGACGGAGGATCACGGAGGGTATTATTATATTATTATTACTCCTCAGTACTTATTATTTTCTTTGCCCGGGTTATCCTGATGCCTGCGTGGTAATCTAGTACTATTGTTCCTAGTCTATAGAACATAACGATCGTATTATGGACCAGCATCACCGCGCCCCGCAAGATCTGCTGGATGTATGTACGACGGCTGCGGGTGTCGGCCCGTCGGTAGCGGACTTGTCTAATACAGAACAGGATGATTCCCTGCGTGACGAGATGGCGACAGGGGGAGACCAGAAAAGAATAAAAATAAAAAAAAAAATTAGAAAAAAAACATATCAAGTCCCATTAATTAGCTCTCTACTCCGTAGCAAACAAAGCCCTCTGCTGTTCTTTGTGTAGATCCTCATCTCAGCACCGAGTGGAGAGGCTTCGAGTCAGTCGACGGACTCGTTCGGCCCCGGTCCGCTGTCACTAACTAGTTACATACTCCGTAGTTAGTTAGCCCAGGAGACATGGGTCGCTGTCTAGTCGATCCCTCGGGCGTCTGGAGAGCTGGAGCCGTTGCGAGCCAGCGGACGCAGTCGACACGGGCCTCTCTGTGCATTGTGCTCTGACCGGGGATGGATGGTGTCTGCATCGATCTGCTGTCGATGCTTATGTAGTCTGGGGATAGTCACGTATGCTGTAGTACATAGTACGGTAGGAATGTAGTACGGTACCAAGTGACGATAGACGATGCTTCTTCCGAGCTCCTTCTGCCTTCCATTCCAGAGACTCGTGTCCAACATTCATGGGCGTCTGTCTCTCGGACAGAAATGGGATGACTGGATGACTGGGTGAAACGGACCGAACCCACCGTCCAACTCAGGAGACAAGTGCTTTGTCCAGAAATCCCTCGCAAAGTTAGTTCCAGTTGCGGTGGGGAGACGCCCGACTAGCGGCCTCCACGGCACGCAAGGGGGTGGTGGTGGTGGTTGAAGGAGGGGAGAGAGAGCCATGGACAGGAAGAAGATTCCTGGTGACTGACTATTCGTGGTGGAAAGAAGCGGTGAGGCCTGTTGGTGCACAGAGTGACCGGTCCCTTCACCCTTGCGCGATACACGTATCAAGATCGAACCATCATCCGACGCAGCAAAATCATGATAGTCGTGGAAAAGAAATATGGAAAAGAATAATTGTCATAGGAATTATTGTAATTCTATAGTAATAATATTAGCTGTATTATAATTATTATGGAAGAAATCAAATAACCGGTGGATCGGACTAGCCGGCTCCATCCACTACCTGTCCTAGGTAATCCACTAATATTAATCCCCCCAAAGACAGTGGGATGGGATGGGATGTCCTTCCTAGTCCGTCCTCCGGAGTGGTCAGTCAACCTGAGCATTCGTCGATCGGGCTGGGGGTCAGTCTCTCTCAGGAATGTGATCACAATCCACCAGAATAACCTCATTCAGAGTCGCAGAGCATGGCATAAAATTTGGCTGACAGGACACTGCCACCTGCTCACTCACGTAGGCGATTCCTCAGCAAGGAAAGGGGCTAATTAGGCGCTGCCCAAACAGGCAATGAACTCTGATCCATCACATCATGATTTTCCCAATGAGTTTGCTTGTGAAACGCCCTCCCCCTTGTCTCTTCCCCCTCTCCGTCTTCCGCCAATGACTAGGGTGATGGTGGCGGAGAATTCACCCTGGAACGGGCACAGAGGAGACTTTCTCCGTACGAGCTGGGCCCGGGGTTGGTGGACGACAGGCTCTTGACCGACTCGGCTTGGACTGATGTATCGACGAGCTCCGACGATTGCGATTTGGGCTGGGTCGATCAAGGAGGGGTTGGCCAGGTGGAGAGTTGAATTCATGAATTGTACTGATTAAATGATGATTAAATGATTAGGTTGTTTACTGGTGATGAAATGAAGATGAAGAGGCAGAGTATCTCCGTATGTTTGTCTGTTTACTATCGAGAGCACTGTAGGAAGTACTAGAGTACTCAGTACTCAGTCAATACCCTGTAGACCAGAAGTAGAACCAGACCAGTCTGGCCGAAGCGATCGACTGCTGCCCACACGCCACGGGGACTTTCGTGGTTCCTTCTGGACCACTGGTTCCTCCCTGTTGGCCGCATGGATCCCTGCCACTTGGGCGCATCCAGGGTGGATTCTGCTGGCTGTGTGACATGGGGGCCCGCCTCGCTTGCTTGCATTGGTGCCTTTGCTGGAGGCGAAATGACTTGCTTGAATGGATTCCAGAAGTTGCATCGATTCGATGAGAGGATCCATCCGGATAGGTCCAATCAATAGCGTGGAAGGGGATCCATATGACCAGTCAGGTCGGATTCGGGAGATGCTGACTTGTCGTTGAGTTGGCTGGGTCTTCACTTAGGTAGGAGAATGAGAAAGCCATGACAGTCAGACTATGACTCCACTGGGCTGAGGAGAGAGAAAGCGAGAAGGGCGCCAGATGAAACCCCCCTGCCAAGTGACCGCCGTTCGACGGCTGCAAGATTGCCGCCGTCGCCGGTGGACTGTTGAGGATGATTGTCGGATGCATTGGTCGCTAGATGACTAGTTTCTGTCCGTTATCCACTCTGTACGGAGTAGATATTGTACTCCGTCCACTGTTCATGTTATGTTCATCCACGAGCTCCCTAACTGCATGGACGCGAGGTACCTACATCCACGTCTCGGTTGCAGCGATCATGGCTCGTGCGGATACATCAGTGAATTGAGTTTGATGAGAGTGATGGCATGATAGGAATCTGTAGAATAGGATAGGATAGGATAGGATCGAATGAATACGGAGTAGTTCGGATGAATCCGCTCGGGTCCGTGGAAAAGCGGCGGCGGTCTGTGGTTCAGGTGGGACCCGTCGAGGTTATTACAGAGCAGAGTAAGCATAGTACCTAGGTTAGATATCTACAAGTATGAAGAAGTAAATAGAGTAGAATCCGAAAAGGATTATTTTCCATGAATATTGGCCACTATCGAGGAATAGGGTTATTTGATGATGATGATGATGGATCTGATCCTTTCTGTGAAGCCACTGACTCGGTAATTAGGATGATTTCTGCTGGTAGTCCGTCTGTCTGCTGCTGTTCTAGTGAAGAGTTTCCTTGCTTCGTGGCGTCTGCTTGTCTGGACCCTGTTCACTCGTCCAGGAGCTCCACTTTTCTTTTTATAATAATCATAATCAGAAATATTATAATAATAATAATTATTTATCTTATTTTATTTTATTTTTATAATATTCTCATATTTCTATTTTATTTTCTCTTTTATTTTCCTGATTATTTTTACTAGTCTGTGATTATTCCTCTCTAGGATCCATCCGATGGAACTCCCTCTAATTTGATCTGATGCGAAAATCCTTCCCCTCTTCTCCAGGATTCCGACGACTCTGGATGATTTGATGCTGCCATTTCCCTTTTGGACGCTGTTGACGGCGGTCCAGTGATCCACCACCGCATCTTCATATCTATCTCCATCTTCTCTTTTCCTCCTGTCCTCCATCTTTCGTCGTCGTCTCTTTTTTTCTCTTCTCTCTCCTTTCTCATCCTTCATCTTCTCTCGTCTTCTCCTCTCATCTCTCCTCCTGGTCTCCTCCAGTCCGTCCAGATCGACCATTCCCGTCCCGATCAGAGACATCTGCCACCCACCCGCGCGCCTTGCAGCTCTCTGACCGTCTGGTGCAGCCGCCTCTCAAGAACTGCTGTTTTCCGTACACGTGCCGGTAGGTCATTTCTTCTATTATTATTATCATGATTGTCATATTATTGTCATGATTTTTTTTCTCGTCTCTTCCTTGCGTCCCAACCTCGACGTTGAGACCACTTCCAACTTCTAGAACCCAGAGAGGGCTGAGTGGGTAACGCTCCCAGCCTCCTACGGTTATCTTCCCCTCCCGACCTTCTCTCTCTCTCTCTCTCTCTCTCTCTCTCTCCCTCCCCCCTCTCATCTCGTCTCAGTTCTCTCTTCCCACCCTCCCCCCATCCATGGATTCCCTCCGCCTCCGTTCCTCTGGTTCCTCCTCTTCCTAAATCAGAACATCCGGTATACCCTCCTCTCCTCTCCTCCTTTCCCCGCCTCACTCCCCCCCATATTCCCACCGCTCCTACAGCTCCCTCCGTGTCTCAACCCAGCCCGATCAGTGTGGATCGGTCAGTCATCCGCCCGCCTGCGTTTGCTGTGCGCCCCCCCAGCCTCTCGCGCGCCGTCTGGCTGTCGGTGGGTGGCTCGCTCTGTCATCCGGGATCGACGCGTCGCTCGAACCTTTTTCGCGAATTCGATTTTTCGCTGCAGCTCGCTCATATCATCACGGATGGGATCGCCCACTGATCGACCCTGCCTCGCCATCCCTTCCGTTTGACACTTCCTATACATACTTCCCCCCCCCATCCCATCCGTCCCTCGGCCTTCTTCCGTTCCTCACTCATTTCGCTACCTCGCTACCTGTCTTCTCACGCTGTTTCTTTTTTGCTTGTCCTAATGACCTCACGGTAACGACTGGAACGACCGCTTACGCTCGCCCAATCTCTAGTCTGCGAATCTCTTTCCCCAACGATTGACGACGACTGGTACCTGGGCTGCTCCGCGACGTTTGATGCTGGACTATCACGTCGGCCCTTCCCACCCCCCTCTTACGACTTGATACGAGACCCATGATTCCGTGCTTCTGATTTGGTTTGAGCGACTTCCCGGACCATTCGCAAGCGCTGGTTTTCTTGTTCCTGGATGTAGATTTGCTGTCTTTTGACGACCTGACACGAGCCTACCACGATTGCCTTTTTGCCTAACGATTGTCTGCATCTTCTGATTTCCTTTGTCGCGCCAAAAGCCGTGATTCTTTGCGTTTATATTTGCATGTCGAACTGTCCCACGACCCATACTACCATCTCCAAGGTACGTTGAACCGCTCGAGTTCAACGTCCGCCATCGACTTTCTCCGTCCGCCTTTCGAACCCCGTACCCCCGCCAACCGAAAAGCTGGAGCTGCCGTCGATTTCGCAGGTCCACACCCGAGGTCCTGTCGATATTCCCTGGTATAACCCTCACGCCGCCGAACGACCCCTGTTGTCTGGCGACAAACTCCCGGCTCTCTCGCTCCCCACGGCTTCGCAGCCGCCGCTGTCGGGCCAGTCCTACCGGACAACCTACGAAGACGCGTCGGCGCCTGGCTCCAACAACGCCAGTACGCGCACCAGCCTGTCCGGCCCTGCGCCGCTGTCCACCGACCTGCGCACCCCGCCGCCCTCGGCGGACCTCGGAGCCCAGTCCGCGCCGCAAGAGTATTCCCTCGCGTCGCAGCCCGTGTCCGAGAGCTACTATCCCAATCCGACTCCTCTCGGCGGCATGAATTCCACTCAGCCCTACATGGATGTGCATTCGTCCCATTTGTCGTCCGCCCAGCCCTATGCCTCGCAGGCCGCGCCCGCTGGCGCCATGACCCACTACACGGGATATCACCAGCCACCCGTTCTCCAACCGGCGTCTACCTATGGCCCCGCGAGCTCCTACTCGCAGTACGCCTACCCCAACAGTGTCACCTCGTCCCAGCCGCCATCGTCCATGGGTAGCCATGTTCCCACTCAGTTACTGCCATTGCCGGGTAAGTTGGCCCTCCAGCCCGTGAGAATCCCATCTAACCACTTGCAGTCACTAGCCATGGCGTGCCGCCGCCGGGATACGGCAACAACACCGGAACGCCGCTGCAGGGCTACGTCTATGACGCGACCGGTCAGGTGGCTCCCCCGGGAGCGAAGCCCCGTGTCACGGCCACTCTCTGGGAGGATGAAGGGAGTCTTTGTTATCAGGTGGAAGCCAAGGGCGTGTGCGTTGCCCGGAGAGAAGGTACGCCGGATATACCCCGACGAGGTGATTGGCAAACTGACCAGCGCAGACAATTCCATGATCAACGGTACGAAGCTACTCAACGTGGCGGGAATGACTAGAGGTCGCCGGGATGGCATTCTGAAGAGTGAGAAGATTCGCCATGTGGTGAAAATCGGCCCCATGCATTTGAAGGGCGTGTGGTATGTTTCCTGATCGAATTGAATCAACCCCGCTAACGAGTGTAGGATCCCATTTGAGCGTGCGTTGGAGTTTGCAAACAAGGAGAAGATCACCGATCTGTTGTACCCCTTGTTTGTCCGGAACATTGGAGGCCTTCTCTACCATCCCACCAACCAGACTCGCACGAATCTCGTAGTGCAAGAATCCCAGCAGCGTCGATTCGAGGGCCCGACGGCTCGCCCGTCCGAAGCCCCCCAGCCGCCGTCGCTGCACCATCACGCGCTGCAGACGCCGGTCCCTTCGCACATGGGTCAACCGGGCAGTCGCCCTGGCCTTGATCGGGCGCACACGTTCCCGACCCCGCCGGCCAGCGCCTCGAGTCTCATGGGGATCACCAACCAGGGCAGCTCTTACGAGTGGAACAGCCAAGGCATGAACTCAGGCGTCCCGAACACGCAACCGTTGTCGATCGACACCAGCCTGAGCAATGCGCGGTCCATGCCGACCACACCTGCGACCACGCCTCCGGGCAGTAACCTGCAAGGCATGTCGTCGTACCAGAGCCAGTCCGGTTATGACATGTCGAAACAGTACTATTCGGCGGCGCCGGCGTCTCACAGTCAATACGCGTCGCAACAGCCGCTGACGCAACCCAACATGGCCTCGTACGGCCAGACCATGCCCAACACGTACATCAAGAGCGACATGGGACCACCCTCGGCCCGCACTCCCGGTCAGCACGAGCCCGAATCCGACAAGACCGATCGGTATGCCCAGAGCAACGGCCATGTGAGTGGCGGACCCGGCGAGCCGGTGTCCGAGCATGAGTCCGAGTATGTGCAACACGACAGCTCCCGCTACGGAACCAACCAGGGCTCGTACACGTACACGACGAACCCGTCCGTCGGCAGTCTTACCGGCGATCACTCGCAGCTGACCCCGGAAATGACGGGCTCGCCGTCCCAGCAGAACGGTTCTGGCCGCATGACCCCGCGCACTAGCACCGGGCCTCCCCCGCAGTGGACCTCTGGGTACAACACGCCGCCGCGCCCTACAGCTGCCAGCAGTCTCTACAACATTGTTAGCGACACCCGCGGCACGTCCAACGGGGGCCCCGCCGACAACTACTCGGTCGCCCCGACCGGGTACTCAGGCATGAACGGATCGCTGGGCTCGGGCAAGCGCATGCGTGAAGACGACGATGTGGATCGCATTGTGCGGCCGGACAGCCGCGGCACCGAATACGAACACAAGCGCCGTCGCACCCTGACCGAGACGCCTGTTGGAGGACCGGTGGGCGGCGTGCCACTGGGCCTGCAGCCGATGAAGGCCGGTGGGGCGATGCCCCGTCGGCATTGATCGCCAGATTTCATGACAAAAACGACTCCCCTCAAAAAAAGAAATTAATGACCGTATTGTTTGACGGACGTTGGCGTGCATTATGGGATTACGACTTTGATAGACTTAGTTCTCTGCCTGACATTGTGCATGCCCCGGCATGTTTCATTCTTTCGTTTGCCCATTGCTACCGGTGGGGTTCATATGTTTACTACTAGGTAATGTTCGGATGGATGGTGATCTGGACGGGCTGTCGCGTTCTTGGTATGATGGTCTCTGCTTTCTTGATTTTGTGATTTCTGCGAGGCTATACTTGACGACCATGATGTGACGAATTTCCTTGACGAGACTATATTGTTGTGGCTTCTCCATTCATGCATTGGGTTCGATGGTTTTAGGCATAAAATGGGATTTCTTGCATACATTTTCTGTAGAAGTATTCCGGTCTAGAAGGTGTTCGGCTGCACTGACGTCGATAGGCAATGCACAGAATGTCGGCCATCATCAGGTTTCAGATGTACAGCTGAAGCTATTTTCCTGCATTCAAAACCCGAGCAATGGAGATATTCCCCGCTGGGAGATCTGGTCCGCTCGACCTATGCGAGCCATTGAGGGCTCGAGGTATAAGAATGTCGCGTTTTCATGAGATGACGGTCGTGACCTAGCTCAACACAGCCTACGACATGTGGTTCCCCTCTGTCGCCCCGTGCGCCTACCTTCTGGGAGGTTTCACCCTCGTCTACTTCATCATCGGGCCATACATCCTCTACGTGCGGAATCCCCAAGGCCTGCGGAAGTATCCCAACTCCCACCCGCCCTCCGTCGTGGGAGACGTCGCGGTCCGAGACGATGCATTTGATTCTGAGCCAGATGCCTGTGAAGGTGTAAAGGAGGCTGCGTACGGATGCGTAGAGTAATGATCGTATTGGCTGCACGACTGGTATATACATAGCATAGCATGCGCCATATTCCATTCATATCCTTCCATATCCTAACCCTGATAACCCACGACCCAAACCGAATGAAGCATAGAGACGACGCATTAACCCTTCTGCCGTCAGCTACGCCTTCACAGCTTTGTCGCCGGTCGACTCATCGCTCGAGGAGGTATCGCGGGCCTCGAGGAACACCTGACCTACCTGCATCTTGGCCATGCGGCGGGCGACCTTGGGTGGGTCGAAGATGGACTTGGACTGGGCGAAGATCTCGTCGATCTCCTCGAGCGAGCGGCCCTTGGTCTCGGGGAAGAAGAAGAAGACGGCGGGGATCATGGCGGCGTTGATGACGGCGAAGATGATGTAGTAGCGGTTGTTGATGGTGGCGAAGCCGACGGGGGTGACCTGGGCGAGGAGGAAGTTGAAGGCCCAGACGGTGGCGGTGGAGACGGCGTTGACGGCGGCGCGCACCTGCAGCGGGGCGATCTCGGCGGCGTACAGGAAGGTGAGGCCCGAGTAGCCGACGGTGAAGGTGAACTGGAAGATGTAGAGGAAGATGACGGCGACGACGAGCGCGCCGGTGTTGTTCTGGGTCGAGGTGGTGCCGGCGAGGATGGCCATGGAGATGGCCATGACGCCGGCGCTCCAGAGCAGCAGCGGGCGGCGGCCGAGGCGGTCAATCGTAAAAAACGCGAGGAAGCCGCCAAACGGCTGCGTCAGGCCCATGGCGGCGGCGAGGATGCGCGACTTCACCGGGTCCAGCCCCAGGTACTGTTGGAAGATGGTGGTGGCGTAGTAGGTGATGAGGTTGACGCCGCACATCTGCTGGAACATCTGGCCGGTGGCGGCGAGGTAGGCGCGGTGGAAGAGGCGGGCCTCGCCCATGGTGAACATGTCGCGCCAGGTGCCGGAGCCGGCCTTGGCGAGCGAGGTCTCGATATCCTGGATGGCGGTCATCACCGAGTCCGAGTGCTCGTCCTCGTCCTGCAGCGCAGCGAGCACGCCGCGCGCCTCGTCGACGCGGCCCATCTTGACGAGCCAGCGCGGCGACTCGGGCAGCGTCGTGATGAAGACCATGGCCGTCAGCGTGAGCACCAGCTGGAACGCCAGCGGGAACCGCCACGACACCGAGTTGCCCTTGATGAAGTAGAAGCCCAGGTCGATCCACAGCGCCCCCGTCACGCCGATGCCCACGAAGATGCCGTCCGTGACCACGTTGGAGCCGCGCTTGTGTGCGGGCGAGATCTCCGACTGCCACACCGGCACCGTGGCCACGTACCCGCCGATGCCCAGCCCGAGAACCAGTCTCGCGACGATGAACTGCGCAAAGTGGAACGACGACGCCATGAGGATGGCCCCGACCGCGGTGATGGCATTGGTGATGAAGATGACTTTGCGGCGGCCCCAGGCATCGCCGAGGTAGACGCACGAGAGGGCCCCAAAGATACCGCCGACGGTGTAGAGAGCGATCACAGTGCCTGAGAAGTTTAGCATATTGCAGTATTGCAGATTTTGAGATGACTCACCCTGAATCTGAGAGTTGTAGTGGTTCTGTGCCCCAGTCGTGTTGATGGTGTCCATCTGGGGAAATTGCAGGTTAAAGGTCTCGAGGGTCAACAGACCGCCGGCCACACTCATGTTGTAGCCATAGCAGACAAAGGTCGGACAGACGACCAACATGACGGCCGCACGGAGGAGGGCATTGCCACGCAGGCCCAGGTACGGATTCAGGCCCATGACGACGGTTCAGATGTGAAGAAACAGAGGATCATGCAATGCAGCAAGAAGAAGGACAAGATCACAACTGGTATCGCCTGCGAACCTACTGTCCCCGCATAATTGCCGACTTGGGGGCGACCCAGGACCGTCGAGTAATATACAGAAATGCTCTATTCGGCCATCGCCGCTTGCCGTTGATCCACCGCACCACGGTGCTGTCGATCCACGGTCCAAAGAATCCACTCCCCCAGACGGTGGCAGTTGGCAGGAAGGATTGCTCGTGTTGAAGCTGTGCCCTGCATGCTGGGCGTGTCTGCCAGGGCTGGGCAGAGGGCAGTATTTTTTCTTCGCACCGACGAATTGATGCTCAAACGGGAGACGAGGTGTTGTCGCGATGTCCCTATGCTAAGCCGCGCGCGCCGCCCAGCCCGACAGCCGGAGGGAAGAATCGGATTTCTCCACAAAAGGCACTTTCGGAACCGAGCGACGTTGGTCATGCCTCGGGAAGATAAAATTATCTTGGCGATATCGGCAAATCCATCCCCGGCCCTGTGATTCTCTTATTAATAGGATTGGCGGCGAAGAGGCGAGGCTGTATGGCTTTATCAGAGCGGGGATCGCTATTAGAATTCTTATTATGCCATCGTATTCAACAGGGGGCCTGCATCTTCTCCAGAGTCTTGGAGGACTAGTGCCCATGCCAAGTCTCTAGCTGACAGCCCAGGTCGCCGTCTAGCACGCCTAGCTGCTCAATTGCCTTTCCATGGGGAAGATCACACCCGACCAGCGTGTTGGAGCACCGGTCCACTCCGTCTGCAACCCTGGGCATGAAAGAGTCTGGGGTAGGCAATCCGGGGTACTGTGATGCATCATGGGGATCGGTGCCCATTACCTAATAGCTCGTGGCCTGTGCGAGGGCTGGTTGCTTTGCGAGGAGTTGTGCGTGTTATGTCGGGGAAGACCGTGATGATGCTGCGCGCTGTCTCGACGGATGCCTCCGGTCGTTGTCTGCAAGAGTTGTTATTGCTGACAGGTGATCGGGATGTTTTCATTGGAGTTAACCCCGTGCAGAGCTAGGGCCTCGCTGTTGACTTCTGAATAGGGTGCACGAGACGTGATATGGCCAAGAGACGACGTCGGACAGCTGTACGGGGTACGAGATGCTCGGCCTGCAAGGTTCCCCGCGACGCAGAGTGTCCGAAAAGGGAAATATTCCCCCGTGACTGCAGCAACCCTAACTTCACCATCCATCTATACTATCCTATACATCTCTACGATTATCAGGTATACCGTCCTTTACTCCAGGCTGTATTCATCCAGAGAAAGGGGACTATTCCCGATGCTATCAGGAATTCAGTTCCCGCCATCAGCTATAAATGCAATGAAACCATCGCATGAACCTCAGCCATGACCCCAAATCCCAGACAACATGCTTCAACCACCCCCCAGGTCATCGACGACCTCTTCAAACTCCTCACACCCACCGACATCGCCGACTATGTCGCTCCCACCATCCTCTCCCTAGCTGGCGCCACCTATCTCTTGCGGGGCATCCTCTGGGACCAGCCAGACCTCTACTACCTACTACCTTACCTTTGAGCGTCCCCAGCTGGAGGACGGCGGGTGCCCTCCACGCCGCCAAAGAAACGCGCAACATCGCGCAGAAACTCACTGAATCCGACAAACAGGTCGTCGTCTGGGGCTCGCAGTCCGGCACGGCGGAAGGCTTCGCAAAAAGCCTCGCCCGCGACATCGCCTGGCGCGACGACCTCTTCGCGGCCTTCCGGCGGAACCTGGGCATCACCGAAACCGACCTGCAGTACATTCCCACGCTGACGGAAGACGAATCGCTGGGGCCGATCGACCTGCACTACGGCGAGCCTGACCCGCACCTCCTCCCGCGCGCGCAATGCTCCGCCGTGCGACCGCTGCGCGTCATCAGCACCCGCGAGCTCTTCAGCCCCTCCGCCGGCCTCCACCTCGACCTCGACCTCGCCGCGTAGCCCGAATTCACCTACAAGACGGGCGACCACCTCACCGCGTGGCCCAGCAACCCAGACGACGAGGTGCACCTGCTGATGCGCACGCTCGGCCTGGCCGACAAAGCTGCCTCGCCCGTCCCCGTCGCCGAGCACCCCGGCCGCGCTGTGTCGGTACTACCTCGAGATCGGCGAGATGATGGTAATGTTTGGGTGTCGGCGCGCGGACGACGACTACATCTACCGCGACGAGATTGCGGAGACACAGGCGGCACTGGGGGGGGGGCAAGCTGCGGGTTGTGATGACGTTTTCGCGGCAGCCGGACCAGCCAAGGGTGTATGTCCAGGAGCGTATTGGTGAGGTCGGCGACGATGTGGTGCGATTGCTGGAGGAGGGCCTAATTCGTAATTGTGTGGGCGAGGCGACGCGGCGGCCGAAGGGGTGGGAAGAGGAGGAAGTGGGCGAGTTGCGGAAGGGGACCAAGAGGAGAAAATAAGTGGCAGGAGGGTGTTTGGGAATGATACATAGAAGTAGATGAAGTAGATGAAGAAGTAATGTGAGTCCAGAAGTAATGAATGCTGGTGATGCAATCTAACCCGAATAGGCAAAATATCAACAGGCGAACCATGGTTCTCTGCATTGCCAACCTCATGCCTTTCTCGCTCGTCTTCTTCTGCTTCTCTCTCCTGTTCGGCCTCAATCGAAGCAGCATGTCCAGACCAACATTCAAGAACCACCTCATCTTTGACCCGTGGAACTCCGCCTCGTCAGGCCACCAGCACGCCCGCTCCCCAGGCACGAACAACCCGCACTGGCAGCTTGTGCGAGAGCAGCGTCTTGCAGACCAATTCCAGCCTCGCGCCAAGGCCAGCAGCAGAGAACTGGGCGAATGGGTCTGGACACACGAAGACCAGCCCCGGGAATCCGGACAGAGGGACATCCGGTCGATGTTCAAGGTGAACAAGGGGGAGAGCACTCTACCGCAGACAGAGTCCAAGCCCACGCCAGAGCCCAGACCACAACCACAGTCGCAGTCACCATCACTGAATCCTTCCAAACGACCAGACCTAGTCACCGAGGCGCAGGCCAAGCAAATCTTCCAAGGAACAACCGTCTACATCAACGCCCCCAGCCACCCCCTCCTCTCCGACCACAAGCTCAAACACCTCCTCGTCACGCACGGCGCGGCCATCTCCCTTGCGCTGACCCGCCGCGTCACGCATGTGCTCGTCGGGAAACCCAATGCCGGCGCGGGAAAGGGCTGCGGTGGCGGTTTAGCGGCGGGGAAGTTACAACGGGAGATTGCGCGCGCGGGGAGTCGCGCTGTCAAGGTGGTGTTTGTTGATTGGTATGCTCCCCTGTCTTGTCCTGCTAGAGGTGGAGGGTCGGCTAACGCAGATAGGGTGGTGGAGAGTGTCAAGGCGGAGAAACGGCTGGCCGAGTCGAGGTTTGCGATGCATGTTGCGGCGCAGGGACAGAAGGCTCTTTCGTTTTCACGGCAGTAATGGTATGGTCTGGTGAATGTGTTTATGTGATACCCATTTCTTTGTAGAATCTATCTGAATGTAAGAATATCAAATCCAAGTCATGTCAAATCAAGTCATAATCAAGTAAGATACAATCACGTATGTCCACGTATATACATTATCATTATCATATCATATATCGTTAGGTGAAGGACCCACCCGGTCGTCGCCATCCTCCTTGACCAACCCCTCTGGCAGACGACAGCGTACCCGCGCTGACGTCCGACTCACTCCGTTCCCGGACCCCGTCTACCCGCGGATCGTACGGTGGCTCATCCGGCAGCGGAGGCAGCGGGTTGCGATGCACTCGCGACGATGACGTCGGCGGGAGGCCAGGCATTGGGTACGCCGGGGGCGGATCACGGGCTTCCTCGCGCAGCCCCGACGGCAGACCGAGACTGTGACCTGTCTCCTCTGCACTATCGCTCGAGTACGTCCGCTCCAGCTTCTCATCCAGATTGTCCTCCACGGACGCCCGCACCAGCCCCAGGCGCTCTTCTTCCGAGTTGGAGTGGCGCTTGGAGCGCGGCCGGTCCGCGGATCTGTGGTGGCTGTGGTGGGGTTTGAAGACGTTGAAGGAGAACTGGCGTTTGGCGCGCTGTGACGGCGACGGCGATGGCAACGGCGGAGCCGTTGGGTCGCTACCGTGGTAGCTCGTGTCGATGCGACTCGGCTGCAGTGGCATGGGCCGCAGGCCGTCCTCTTCCTGGATCGGCTGCCACTGGGCGCTGGACAGGCGCGAGCGCAGATCCGACAGGATCGAGTGGCCGCTATGTTTGGTGCCGGGTCGGTCGTCTGCGTGATCGTCGGGGTTCTCTTCCGGGAACCGTGACATGCCTAGCGGGGGCAGCGGGGTCCTGACGGACGGCGCGCGAGCAGCGTGCATGGTCGGCCCCTGGCCGATGACAGTCCTGCGCCGGCGCAGGCCGTCCCACTCGATGATCTCGTTGGGGCTGGGCGGGTGCCTCTGGTCCTCCAGACGCTCGCGGTAGTAGCGACGGGCCTCTTCGGCTTCAAGGTTGCGGCGTGGGGTGGACAACCGGCGGATGAGGCTGGCGGCGCCGCGGATGGAGTCGGCTTTGGGCTCGCTCTCGGGTTCCTCCTGCGTGGCGACTTCGCGGATCTGGTCCAGGTCGCCTTTGAAGACGGCGGCGTCGGGGACGTCCTTGGCCGATTTGGAGAGTTGCAGGAGGACGACGCCGGCGCAGATCTGCAGGAAGCCCATGATGACCGTGGCGATCTGGATGCCGGTGCCTTTGAAGCCCCGGAAGAGGATGGCGGAGGTGATTATGGTGGCGCTGGTAAACAAGACGTAGTAGGTTGGAGTCACGAGGGCGGCGTTGAAGATGTTGAGGGCTTTCTTCGGGGGATTAGCATCGGAGCAGGATGGGGATGGTAGGAAGGGGAAATACATTAAGATAGATGATTTCTGTCAAGAGCGTCGCAATGACAAACACCGCCAGAACGTACAGAAACCACTGGTTGAATTGCGACTTGCCGTTGATTTGCGCGAGGATGGCCGCGCCCAACCCTTGCGTGGCCACAACGCTCAACCCGCCGATGGAGCTGCAGATACTGATGTAGACGAACATGCTCTTCTTTCCGTAGCGCGGGCCTGCCCAGAGGGCTGTGAAAATGGCCCCGACAACAATGACCCCCGCGTAGGAAAGGAATCCCGGCGCGATGACATAGTCCTTCATGTCTTGGATGTCACTAACGGACGACTGTTCGGGGGCGTTCATGGCGATGATGACGGAACCGAGTATGCAGGTGAAACAGCCGACCTTGCCGACAAAGCTAAGGCGCTCTTTTAGAAAGATCGCGGACAGGATGGTGGTGATGACGACGGAGAGCGCACCGAGCGGGGTGACCAGGATAGCGTCGACAAAGGCATAGGCGACAAAGTTACAGATCTCGCCGACGATCATGAGCGTCATGCCAGTCCACCACCAGGCATTCTTGAGGTATCCGTAGCCCTCGCCGGCTTCCTCATTATACTTGACGTTGGCCTTGAGCAGGCCGACCTTCTTGATCACGAAGGAGACGCCGATAAAGAGGCCGGATGCGACGGCGAGCGCGATACCGATGGCCTTGTAGGAGGCCGGACGACTGGCGGAGTCGGAGCGGGCATAGATGTCCATTGACTGTTTCTCTGAGGGGGCGAGGGAGAGAGAGGTAGAGGTAGAGGTAGAGGGGCGTAGATGAGGGAGAAAGAGGGTGGATGGATTAGTGGCAAATCGATCGGAGCTGACGATCCATCGGCGCTTAGATAGAGATGCGTGGGAATAGATTTGAGTTTGCCGTGACAGATGCAGTGACCGTGGAAGATGCAGGAGAGAAGATGCAGAAAGGGAAAATGCGTTCGAGAAGCATTCCAGGGACTGCAGAGAGCAAGGAGAAAAGGAGAAGAGAGGCGTACGGAACAGTCAGTGGTGGTGAGGAAAAGGATGAGGCTGGGGAGAAAAAGTATGTTGTTGATTGGGTCCACCACTGCCACACACCCTCGAATATCGCAATCTCACATCATATTAATAGAATAGAACGGATAGTAAAGAGAATAAGAGATAGAATTACTGCTAGACAATATATCCATGAAATGAAGGAATGCAGGATCATCCTGAAACACCCTGTCCATGGTTCCCCATCCTCGCCTAATATTACCGATTTATTCACCCTAGAGTACATACATTCAACCCGCCCAAATGACGCCAGGAATTCATGCTACCATATATCGTATCATTAAAAAGTAGGAAAAATCATTCATCGCACATGATAGCTCGGCTTTCGCTGTTTGTTTACCACCGGAGGCGGTTCATCCACCGGGTACGGTGGTCGTACCTTTTGCGGTCCATGGGAGATCACCAACGGCGCTGGCATGGGGATCCCCCCGAGCTCATTCGGCTCGTCCGGATATGGGATAGGTGTCTTCGGCGGCACCGGTGGAGGGATCCCACTGTGGACATGCTCCACGCTGATACGCGGGGACCCGTGTTGCTGGGATCCTGGCCGGCTGACGTCTGTCGGACTGACGCGTCCCAGGTCACTGACCGATGCTCTTCCCGATGATGGGACCCGGTGGTGCAGGGTATCCTGTGGCGTCGGATGTACGGGTAGTCGGTCATCGTTGGGCGCAGCCGTCGGCGTAAGGTAGAAGTCCCCGGGCAGTTCGGCAGGCAATTCCACGGCGAAATTCGCTGGAGGCGGCACGGTCAACTGCGGACTGTGCATGATCGACGAGGTGTCGTCGACCGCGGACAATGCAGGGTCGTCCTCCCTGCCCGCCGCGATACGGGCCGCCCGTTCGTGCATGCGCTCGATCTTCGCAAATTTCACCCCGGCATCGAGAATCTGCTTCTTTACCTCTGGGCGGGTCAGATAGCGACGCGTGTTGGTGCTGATGTCGGCCAATCGGTTCCACTCGTTCATGCCAAACTCGCCCACGCCCACTTCCACGTTCAGCCGGTAGTAGTTGTCCTGGCTGACGTTGCGCTTGGACAGATGCTCGCGCAGCATCTCCCGGTGGATATCCTCGCAGCCCTCAATCTTGGCGATCAGCCGTCGCCGCGCCTCTGCGAAGGTGCCCATAGTGTCGCCGAAGAAATCTTCCCACCATTCATGCTGTCGACTATTCGTTCCGGGCGGTCGCTTGCCAGTACCCACGCTGATGAACACGCCGACTTCGCGCCCGGGCCATTCGTTCACCGTCGCTTCATCGAGAACCTGCGGCGCCGGGTTGTAGGTGCCCGCCCCTTCGTCGATAAATACATGTTGGCCGATCTGGATGGGCTTGAACGCGAGGCCAGTCGCGGACGTCGCCCGACCGGCTTGCCAGATTGTGCAGTTGAACTCGGGCGGGGGTTCCTTGCGCGAGTCGTAGGAGCGAAGGAGGACGGCCGAGCCGTTGCGCGTGGTGCCTTTATACAACGCCGTGACAGCGCTATGAGAGTCAGTACGGTATAATAACAACAGCCACAGTAAAGAAGGACATACGTTTTCGTCCGGTTTTCCCGGTTATCATACAACAGCGCATCCGGGTTTCCAAACCGCAGCCCATTGATGAAGGCCGAATTCCGCTGGGTGACAGGGTTATTCGAAAACGACCCCGTCGTGCTGAAACTGGCGCGACTGCCCGACCGCTGCGGGAGCGAGGAGTTGGGACTGTACATGGGGCTGGACATGGACGAGCGACCACCGTTCTGCCGGGGCAGGTCGTTGCCCTCGTTCTCGTAGATGGTGTGTTCGCGCACACATTCGCGGATGGCCTCCTCGAGCTTGGAGGCCTTGAAGAGCGTGGAGCGGTAGGGGATGCCGGCGAAGGTCTTGTCGGTTTCAAAGACGCGACGGGTCATGCGCACGTAGACTTCCTTGCAGGTCTCGAGGTCGAGGCGGAGCCGCCCCAGCATGAGGGCGATCAAACCGCCGGTGCCGGTGCCGACGATGAGGTCAAAGTGGTCGCAGGGTTTGGGAATCTGATCGCGACGCGGGGGCTTGCCTTCGCATTCGACATAGACGCGGTACATGAGTTCCTGGAGGATGATAAGCATGGAGTAGCCGCGGACACCGCCGCCATCTGACCGGTTAGTTTCTGCGATATTTCTTGCGGTGTTGGGCGTGCTTTGGTGCGGATTTACCTAGCGAGAGGATGCGCAAGGGCGGACCCTTGGTGGTGTCCTTGCGACGCAGATTGACTGCGTCCATGGTGTGCGACCCGCGATGGGGGTGGAGAAGGCGATGAGAGGACGGTGAAAATGTGGGCGCCTGATGAGGGGCAGATGACTATGGGATTGGCGACGGGGAGGGAAGAGAGGAGAGGAGAGGATGCGACGAAGAAGGCGGAACAGAGAGGAAGGGCCAAGACAAATGGAGGGAGTATGGTTGAAGATGGAGTAGAGTGAAGCGGAATGAACAGAACAGAAAATGAAGTGAAATGGAACGGAATAGAACGAAGTGTTGATGATGATGAAACAGCGTGACTATTCTTAGTTTCCTTTTCAGGCGATCCACGGATGGGTGCTGAGTCAGCTCAAATAAAATACGCCCATTGGAGGAAATCTGTGGCGGTGCGAGACTGGGGCTGTACATGGATCCTCGTGAAGAAAACCCGACCATTCACAGTGTCCAGCAGAGAACCAAGACAGCTGAAAAATGAAGATTCTGAGGCCATGATATCATCCGTCTTAGTGTCGCTGCTGGAGATGATCCCGTCCTGACAGCCCAACCCAGGTACGATGCATCGAATACTCCGTACAGACAAGCGTTGCGAGCCATGGTTCTCTCCAGGCAACCCATGGTACACAACATATCATACCAAAACACCCACAATGCCATTCATCTACAGAACTGCCTTGCCAAGTATCACATCTCGCACCAGCTTCAATCCCTCCCCGGTAAACGCCACCATATTCTTCTCGCGATCCGAACTACCCGTCTCCACCTCCCGCGTATACGTCCCATGTGCGGTGGACACCGCAACCGCCACATACCCGCTGTCGGTAGATACTCGTCAGACCAGTTATCCCTCCCTTCGAGTTGATGAGTCCTGCAAAACACTTACGGAGTCCGATTCCTCGTCGTCCCCCCCGTCGGCCCGGCCGTCCCACTCTCACTCACCGTGTAGGTGGATCCTAGTGTCTGTCGGACATGATCCGCCAACCCGGCCACGATGGTGGGTGTCGGTCCGTTGTAGCCTTCCAGGTGGGCGGGGGTCCAACCGGCGTATGCGAGACGGGATTCAAGCGTGTAGACCTAGCGACTATTAATATGGTTAGGGCTGAAGGTTGGGTAGCACAGTACCGTCACGCCGCCCTTGTAGATGGCCGATGCGCCGGGAGAGACCAGAAGACAGGCGGAGATCAGTCCACCGGCTGCCTGCATAAGTCAACATAGCTTCCAGTGACTACTTCGAGGGAACGTACAGTCTCCGCGACGGAGATGGTCTCATTGCGGGACTTGAGGAGCTCAAAGACTTCCTCAATCAAAGGACGGAGACTGGAAGGGGGGAATTCACTCATGTCGTTATGCGAGGTCCACAACTGTAGAGATGAGGGGTCTACTGAGTACTTCAGAGAACGAGGGCAGTCAGTGATCGTAGTTAAGTAGGCTTATAAATCACTGGTCACCCGTAAGCGGGCACCTCCAAACTGCGTTAAAATTCAAGAAACTTAGTCCGCTTCTAAAAGAGTAAAGATTGTTAATATTCGCGAAGCAGCACTCGTCTATATTATGTTTTTTGCATAACTCTCCAACTACTAACTAAATGGACTTATTTTAAGAGACACGCGCCAACAATTGTAAATTAAGTAGCACTTTGGGCTGGAGGTCTCTACCTTGCTTCCGCTCTCTAGTACGCCTATTCTAGGGTTTATAATTTGCTCTGTCGCTGTGCTCCTTGCAGAAAATTAGACAATGTTAATAGCACGAGGATTCAGTGCATGATGTTCCGTAAAAGGACGAGCTAATCCGGAAGCTCAGGTCCTATGTAGTAGGCATTGGATTAATGAATGTCATATCACCAAAGGTTCTCTACCTACACTACACCTTTTATCGTTTATTCCTGAGATTTCGTCGTTGCACGGCGCCTGAGACTTCTAATACCCATGCCTGTTCCTTGTGATGCACGATATGATGTCCCTATTCAAAGAGCGCATCTATACGGAGCAGACCGATCAAACCTCCGTCTGCCTCTTCGACTATCTAATAGAGTGCGATGCTTTCGACCTTGTCCTTTCCATTCCCCTTCCAATGCCTCCCCAAACATGATTCCGTGAAGGTAGCCGTTCCCGACGACAGTGTACGTGGGCAAGCGTTCCTGGGCATCACCCGTCCTGTAGGTCTCAGCACCACGACAAGGCCGAAGGATAAATGGGACAGGCGAGCCAAGAAGGATGTGCACTTCGTCGCCTGCCCGGACACTCTTGGAGGCCAAGCCAACGAACCCCTTTTCAGTGATGAACATGCGCCGCTGCCATAAACACACTACAACATGATACGCAATCAACGACCAGGAAAAGACAAGATCCATGACCATCCAGGGTCTCGCAAAATTCTCTACTTCGTTCTTTACCGTGGGTCCCACAAACGGTAATAAAACCTGCAGGGTTTTCCACAACTTGTGTAACTCGCGATAGTGTCCGTCGGTAGGCTGGATATATGCAGTACCGCCCTCTTTTGCGACTGGGATAGAGTCGTTTAGAATCGTCCTCCAGAAGCTGTCCTGCTGTGAGCCCTGGGCGGGTGGCTCTTTGGGCCAGTCGTCTATACCCATAAACTGGATCTGAGGTGGCAGGACCATTTCCTGGACCACCCAGATTCGTTTCCACCAAGGCAGCTCCAGTAGCATTCGGAGGTCTTCAAAATGCGGCTTGCAATCTTCTTTCACGTCTGATCGTTCACCGCCAAGGAAACACGGTAGCTCGAACATATGCTGTTCGATCTGGAAGGTATGCAACAGTTCGGACACGCGACAACCGACGGTGGATTCGGATCCTGTCTCGGCCACTTCGGGATCTTCCCCAAGCCAGAGGACGGCCGCTGCACAACCCATAAATATCTCACCCATGAGGGCTACCTGGCTGAATTTGTCTTCCGCATCGCCCTGGTTGATGCAGAGGGCATCGATCCATAGCACACGTGGCGCACTAGGTTTTCGCAGTCTGCGCAATGCCGTCCAAAGATTCTCGGTAACTTCGACTATCTGGCTGTTCAGCTGAATCGGCTTTCGATGCGTTGGATCACCCCACACGTAAGAAAGCGCTTCGTATGCGGGCTGCTCGCGTAGGCTGAAGGTATGAAGACTGCCTTTTATTTCGTCTGGCCAGTTCCCTGGTTCAATCGTGACAAGTCGAATCTGTCGGAGATTGGGGTCCACGGGGGGGTACACGCATTTGGATTCGGACGTGAAGGCTTGATATGCATCCATATTGGTTTTTGTCCCTTTTGCAGCAACACTGATATCTGAAATGGCAACGCAAAAAGCACAAGCTGAGAACGGGAATTTTTTACGAGAATATATGGCTTTGCTATCCGATGAAGATTCCCATCGCTCCCCAAGGAATCAGCACCTCTATATAGTGCCCATGAAGCTACCCAGATCGATGATAGCATTGAGATGCCATCCTGGGGCATTTACGTTCTGACCGAGGGGGGCCATAACCAGCAAACGTCGTCTGCTTATCAGCTGGGTCGTTGTCATCGTCGTATGTCTAGTTCTCTGTGGGATTTGCTTCAGCTTCCGGAACTGCACGTCAAGGGAACTGCGGGATAGACGGTGGATCCCTGTCTGCCAACCTAGGGTGATAATGGAGCAATGCAGAGGACCCATTAACGTCTCATCCCGCAAATGCCGCAGGAATTTCTTGGAGAGCGCAGAAATGGAGATTGTCTCTTGCCATTGGCCACGCTCCGCATGGCTACACCGACAGCGAGAGCCAGAATTGAAAACACGGCCAGAAGGCAACCAAACTGTTTCATAGGACCAGATTAAGACATTTACAGGACACGGTTCTTGCTCGTAATGAAATATAACATCCCGGATGGCCGAAGGGAAACGTAGATACGCATTGTTCGCCAATACTCGTCAAATTCAAACGCAGTTCAGTTGGCAAGATGGATTGACCTGTCGTTCGCCACACTGCTATATCCGAAATGCCTCAGGCAATAGTTCAGTGGCCTCTATTAAAGAAGTAAGGTTCGATATTGACTCTTCTAGCCGGACACATCTACCAGCCGTGGTCGCACGGGGTACGCAGTTTGCTGCAAGAATTCCCCACCATATCCAGGTCGCCAGTTGATGGCTTGAAATAAGTACGTGGTGTGAGGGAGTGCGACAATAGCCAAATTACCCTGTAGCAGTTGAGTCGGGTAAAAGAATAATAACCAAGTAGACCTGCCTACGTATTACTGGCCTTTGATTCTTATGGTGGGTAAAAGGTTTTACATGATATTAATATGTCGGTCAGAAGAGAATTCTCTTTGCTTCATCATGTCAAAAACAGATCACGCATGATATGATGGCGATTGCCCCCATCACTAACGCCGGGGTGTGTACTGACTTTGACGGCTGCATGATGGTACACCCTGGTCCCTTCAGCTGGTTTTACCGACGCATACATGCCGACATCCGCGAGCCTGAAAAAAACAGTTCTTTTGGAAGGGAAGACAGCCAACACTGCGATGGCTCCGTAAGAAGGCGCCAATGCTCTCGACGCCGCGGTGCTGGCCTACAGTGGCATAGGTGTCCTGCGGCAGCAGATTCATCCGAGCAAGCGCGTCCACTGTGTCAGTTCTGATGGCGGGCTTCGACCCCACATCATCCCGGGCTTCGCAGCGATAGATTGCTAAATCCGATCCCTCACTATGGTAATGGTGGAGAAGCTCTTCGAGAGTGTGAGGGATTGTTTCAAGGGTGCACCTTGCAGGCTGAATGATCCATGGAGATTCAAAGGTCGTTACATCAATTCTTTCTCCAGACCCGCCAGTGGCTGACACTAGGACAGACAGGAGCCGTGTGCTGATCTGCGGCCCAATAGACTTAGCCTTTGCCATCGGCTTATGCGCAAACAATGGCTCGAATTGGTACAGAAGTGCGGTGCGACTTGACATCAACTGGAGTTGCAGAACCAACCGACCAAGGTATCGCCCCATGCTCTTCCTCTGACCAGACAGAACGTATTGAGCTAGTCTCACTAAAACACATGGTCAATAGGAAACGTCTCTTATGAGTGCCCCCACTATCCATGCCTATGTTGCTATTCCCGGCTGGCCTGGAGCGAATAACCATACAGCGGGGTTCACTGCGGTGGCAGGGACCAGAGAGTCTCAAGATCTCTGCCTTCATGCAGCAAAGGGCATGGTCATTGCTGGGCTTCATACCCTGACAAATGATGAGTTGGCACAAGAGATACGATCAGATTTCGAGACGGACAAGCGACGACGTGACCAGATAGCTTTAGGGGCTCCTCGGATGCCAAAGCCGAGTGTGGAATTTGTTAATCACACACTGCTGGGAGGAAATTTATGTGTGTATGGCCGCAGCTTATAAGAATCTGTTGGGCAGCCTCAGGTTTCCATGCATTTTCAGTACCACCACGGTGTGAAGATACATCGTTTCCTAGTCGCGCTTTGGTGCCATGTCTATGGTATGGCTCGTTCATGATCTGAGATAGAAACGGACGTAGTTGGCTTATTATTATCTGATGTGTGCCTCGTAGCACATGTAGCATCTATATGGTACGGCCTCACTCACTTCAATGTCGTCAGACCTGGCCAATCTGCGACAGTCAGCATCTACACAACACTCCAACTGGATAGAAGGAAAGAAACTTACCATAGACCATCCGCTCCTGCACCCGTCTCGACACAACCACCTCATCGCCAACGCGGACGCGCGCATTTTCCGATCCCCGATCCAGGAACACATACCGGCCAAAGACCGGACTATACTTCATCCCGCGGTCGACCCGTCGATCCTTCATCAGTTTCTTCAGCACATTCCCCGACTCCCCCTTGCCCATGGACCCCGTCGCATAGTCGACATTAATACTCTGACACCGCACACAGTTCGCCGTAAGCAACAGCCGTACATTCTCCTCGCCCACCGTCAGCTCCGCCCAAAAGTCCTCCTCCCACGCCGTCTCCGCCCCAGAGACCACAATGTTCGGCCGGAACTTGGTTATATCCATTTCCTCGCCGTCAGGCAGCCTTGCCGACACGTCGTCCAGCGACCTCGTCGACGTTAGCATGTACGGTGCCGTATCTGCAAAGGTGATTTTCTCGTCTGCGCGGCCGCGCGCCAACAGGAGTATCAGACACGAGACGAGTAGTGCCGCCATCGGCGCCAGGATCCCCGGCAGCAGGCGCCATGCCGTCTCCGCGGGCGACTCCACACTCTCCGATGGCATTCTGCCGACGACGTTCAGCACCAGGGTCACGCCCGCGAGCACCGCGACCGACCGCAGCGACACCGCCGGCGCCAACAGCGACGTGGACGTTGCGCGGTGCGCGGGACTCTTCCCCGGCGCGAAGCTGCCCAGCACGCGCCGCGAGTGCGGTCCCAGATACGCCAGCACGACAGGGTACCCGAAACACGCACTGAACCAGTCATTGTAAGCAGGGCCCATGTTGTACGCGGTCGTGGGACTCTGGTGCATGGTGATTTTGAGTTTCTCGAGGCCGCGGACGTCCGGTTGCAGGGGCACATCGAGCGTGCGCGCGGCCGTGTCGGCGCCGGGGGGCCTGTAGGTGACAATGATTTTGCCGGTTGTGTCGGCGTCGTCGATGCCCTTGGGATTGGCGCGAGATTTGATGGTTGGAGTTGGGAAGACGAGCTCGGTCAGGAAGAGAGACATCTCGGGGAAGTGAGGGACGTGCATGTTCTTGAGGGTGGTTGTGCCGTCGTCGGCCGTCCTGACCTTGAGGAGCATGAAGCGACGGTCATATTGGAATCCGGTGCTGGTGAGGTTGGCTTCGGAAAGCGAGACGCCGCGGAGGGATTTGATCGGGTAGGTGTACAGCTGGCGATGAAGTTAGACAACGAACCGGGGATGTTGGGGATGTTTGTGGGTACCTGGCTGATCTGCATGATGGGGATAGCCCACGACGGGTGTCCGGCGGTTGATTGTTGCAATCGTTGGTTCTGAGAGGGAGTGCACTCGATCGTGATGTTGCAAGGGTGGGAATAATGGAAGAAGGCGAGAAAGCAAAGGATTCAAGGGAGAAGAGGAAAAAGGATCAGGAAGGTGAGATGGAATGTTGAGAGTAGATTGTTTGCAGTCGGAATTGCGCAGTCTTCCACATCGGGGCATGCCAAGACCGGGGAAGTTGGGGGAGCCGATTAGGTACTTTGTTTGGTTTACACCAGCCTTTCCCTCTCCCCAGCAACATCCTCGTCACGATCAGACAAAATGCTCCCAGAAAGATCCCCAATGCGCTAAACACCGACGCGACGAGATATCGGTACCGGCGAATCAAGGCCCCGTTGATCGGAGATCAGGCCCCCTGTCCTGAAAATATACAGCATTGTGAAGATTGGGTTGGAGGATCAACTATGCAGTGGAAAATTTCTGCGCATAAGGATCTCGTATGCAAGGGACCTGGGAGGAATATGCTGATCGATTTCTATATCGAATTGGCCCTCCCACACTCTGTTCCTAGTGCATATTTCATTAGATTCTAAATAGCTTGTCATGCAATGGCATGTCAAACCAAACTGTTCTATAGGTAAGCACTATCGGGAAAGAAGTATACCATTGCCAGCAACAGGAGACAATCCCGCTATCTAGGCCATTGTCATTGTCTGCAACCCATCGGACTTGTCGCCTCACTGGATTATCTCTCTACCCCAACGAGTTGTTTAATCTTTCAAGTGCATAGAAGCTCAAGACTGAATGAGAAAAGGGACTACATTAAAGAGTCGATTCCTGGGTTACCGATTCTAAGGCAATCCACGCAATCCCACCACAATCGACGTGGGCGTACCCCTCCAACAATACAGCGCTGTAAAGCTAGAAAACCGTTCACGAACCCAACTTTCCCTGATGCAAGATCTCGAGAGCTTCCATCAAACACATTGGGAAAGGTAGACACCAGAAATCACCGCCGTAGCCGGAACACGTCTTACTGCGCCGAGGCAAGTACCGCCAAAATCTGCTTCCCCTCCTCAACATCATCCTCGTCCCATGGCTTCAACCCGTAGCTCATCATGAACTGGGTCCATCCGCCGTAGCCCTTGACGATGGCACGTTCGGCGGGAGTAAGGGGGGGCTCTGTCATCAGAGAAGGGAGTGTTAGCCTTGTAGCTGTTGACCGCTTCTGCGGAGAGGATATATATATCTGTAAATTCGTACGGAGAGCATCAGTAGCAGGCATATTGCCGGTTAACAGCGTCAATTATTCCTTTTTCTTTGACTTTGGTGTTGGTTTTCAGAGAAGATGGTGTTGGCAGTGTGAAGACAGAAGGTGGTCTCTAAGGTAGGTGCAGCTGAAAGATGGAACGGTGATATCACGTGGGATGTATGATATATCGAAGCAATGCCTTTAGCCTTTTATTATGACATTGTTCGTACGACCTCAGAAGACTATCTTTTGTCTAAAAGGCCCAAACACAGCGAAAGACCATGGGGACTTTGCCACATGGGTAGATCCTCATCTAGAACAAAAATGTCATTCATACTATCTACATTCATAAAATGGCCATAACGCCCGAACATGACAGAACCTAACCCATAACAAGCATCAAAACATTTACTCATCCTGCCACGGCAGGCTGAACGTACCCACCCAGTCCTCGACCTCCTGTCTCAAGAGGACGATATCGGAGATCTCCTCGCCCTCGCCGACGTAGTCGAGGAAGGCCTTGACGGTGTTGGGGTTCTTGACGCCCTTGGCGGCGGCGCTCTCCTTGGCGGCCTTGTCCAGCTTCTGGGTGATGATGACGGCGCGATCGACAATGTCCGCCACCCGGCGGAAGTCTTCGGGCTGGAAGCCACGGGTGGTCATGGCGGGGGTACCCAGACGCAGACCGCCGGGCTTGAGTGCGGACTTGTCCCCGGGCACGGTGTTCTTGTTGCTGGCGACGCCGCACAGCTCGAGCACGCGCTCGACGCGAGCACCGTCCACACCGCGGTTCTTCAGGTCCACCAGCACGAGGTGGTTGTCGGTGCCGCCGGAGACGATGTTGTATCCCAGACCGCCACTGCTGAGGGGGCTGCCCAGGCGTTCGGCGAGGGCCTGCGCGTTGGCCAGGACGGTCTCCTGGTAGGTCTTGAACTCGGTCGACTGGGCCTGCTTCAGGGCGACGGCCAGCGCGGTGATGGTGTGGTTGTGGGGGCCACCCTGGTGGCCCGGGAAGACGGAGGCGTTGATGGGGCCCTCCAGATCGTACATCTCGGGGTTACCCTTCTTGTCCGTCCGGCGGACACCCTTGCGGTAGAAGATCATGGCGCCACGGGGTCCGCGCAGAGACTTGTGGGTGGTGGTAGTCACCACGTCGGAGTGGTTGAAGGGTGAGGGAAGAACGCCGGCGGCCACGAGACCGGAGATGTGGGCCATGTCGCTGAGGAGGTAGGCGCCAGCGGCGTCGGCGATCTGGCGCATACGGGGGTAATCGATCAGACGACTGTAGGCGGAGGTACCGGCGATGATGAGCTTGGGACGGTAGAGGAGAGCATTCTTCTCCAGGGCGTCGTAGTCGATAAGACCGGTGGACTCGTCGAGACGGTAGGGGAAGGTCTCGAAGTACTTGGAGATGAAGGAGATCTTCTTGGTGGGGGTCTGGTAGCCGTGCGACAGATGGCCACCGTGGGGGAGATCCAGACCCATGAGACGGTCATGGGTGTTGAGGAGGGCGGAGATGGCATAGAGGTTGGCGGGAGAACCGGAGAGGGCTGGTTTGTTAGAAGGGATCTGTCGAATTGACGGAGCACGACTTACGCTGGACATTGACACCCCACTCTTCGGGGTTGAGACGGAAAGTCTCGAGCGCGCGCTGCTGGCAGAGACGCTCCGACTCGTCGATGTACTCGTTTCCACCGTAGTATCTGGCTCCGGGGTATCCTTCAGAGTACTTATCTATAGCTCGGGTTAGCGACGGAACGGCGCACGACAGCAAGGAATTGACAGACTTTGCATCACACTGCCGAGGGCATCGAGGACGGCCTGGGAGGTGAAGTTCTCGGAGGGAATGAGGTTGATGAAATGCTTCTGACGTTTTTTCTCCTGCTCGGCGTCAGTTGGGGTGGGCCGTGAAGCGCATGCGGGGAAAGCACATTTTGGAGAATGTTGTAGATCGTGGGGTCCTCCTCCTTCAGATGAGCGGAGAGGAGCTGTGCGAGAACGGTCAGCGCATATTCAAGCTAGCATTGAGATTCCACATACATGCTGCTGTCCATCGCGACTGGACGACGAGACGCCGCGGGATTGGGGAATGGAGGGGAGCTGGATGCGGGAGGAGAGGGCGATAGCTCCGGGAGAGCTTCCGACACGCGGGAGCACGCGGGAGACGGGACGACCGCAACGGCTGAGCATGGTGCAGTCAGGAGAAGTAGAGGAGAGGCAATGAAGGAAAAGAAGGATGAAGAAGGAGGAGAATTGCGACAGAAAAGCGCGAGGAGAAGAGATAAAATGGCCTATCGACGGTCTCCGGAAGATGTCAGAAGCGCCCAGTTGCCCGCGGGAAGCGGCGCGCTAGACCGGATGGGGCTTAGCATCTCCGAGGACCGGATTATTGCTGTTCCGCTCCGCTCGCTTACATTTCTCCTTTCCACTCCACCTTCTGCTCCTCTTCTTTTCTTCTCTTCTTCATCACACAACTAAATCCAAGATGAAGAAATGGTTTTCAGCTGGTCCGTTCTCGGGGATGATTTCGGTTGTCCCTGGGCGATGCTGACATGTCCCGCCGTTCACCATCCATAAGGGGCAAGGAAACATCAGATTGGAGGTTGTGTGTGTTTTCCTTTTCTTTGGAGGTCCAGTGTTTTGATGGATATTATTAGTATCTACGGAAGTATATGAGTGACGTCAATCAATACATTCATCTGAATACATTCCTACTACCTAGTACTGTAAGAGCCCGATGATACTCGTAGTCTAATAGATTGATAGTCCACGCAATCCCTCCCAACCTCCTGAGTCGAGATGAGACGTCCTCTGTGCCTTGCTGGCTGCCCTTACCGCTACGTAAGACATGATTTGGATCGTCCTGACCTTGCAGGAGGCAAGCTGCAGACCACGTCGAGATGATGTGTCGGACAGACCAGGGATGAGAGGATCGGTGCGACAATCACGGCAATCCAGAGACTCAATCGACCTCCGAAGAACTGACTATGCCCGATAAAGTTGGGCTCTTGGTATTCTGAAGAGGGAAAGGATAAACAGGCGGAAAAATCTGTTTAATGAGTTGTCCGTAGGCAGCATTCTCTCTTGGATAGTAGATATAAGAGAGACCGAGAGAGAGACACAGAGAGAGTGAGGGCGAGAAAGAGCGTGTGTCATTCTTAAACCCGTCCTCCATGCATCTTTGAATGAAAGTAAGGCTTTGATACTTAAGCATGCAGCAAAGTAGACTGTTGTGACTCCGTCTCTTTACTCCGTGGCGTGGAGAAAAGGGGTACCGGGGACGTGGAGGATACTAAGTGTGAGTGGCAATAGAACAACAACCCTAAATCCAGGAACATCACCAGTAGCGTATAGTCTTTCATACTCCCTTACTACTGCCACGACCATCAGCCCCCTTACTGCCCGGGATAATCAAATCTGTACAGGAGTCGAGCACAAGATTAATCAAACTAGTCGGCTTAGACCCAGTCCAATCCAGCCCAGCCCCAGCTAGTTTCCCTTATATTAATATAACGCCCATCCCGTTCGTCTCCTTCTCTCTCTCTTCTCTCTCCATCCAGTCGATCTCTATCCAAACTATCCCGGTTTCACCGAGTACATTCTTTACTTTCGTCGCTCTTTACCACCCTATTTACATATCTACTTCTGGATAATCTCCTCCCCCTTCTCCCACCATCAAGATGCGTTTCTCTCTCTTCGCTACTGTGGCCACCCTCGCCGCCGGTGTCATGGCCGGTGCTGCTGACGAGCAGCCCGAGACCGTCGTCGTCACCGAGTACACCACCTTCTGCCCCAAGTCCAGCACCTCCTTCGTCCACGGCACCGAGACCTACAGCGTGAGCACTGTACGTACTGATCGTATCTATTTATCAAGTCCCAACTAACGTAATATGTCTAGCCTGGCCACTACACCATGACTGGCGGCCCCTACACCATCACCCGGCCTCTGATCACCTCCACCGTGACTCGCTGCACCAAGTGGTATGTTTACTCCATCATTCTATACTGATGCACTTCTGACGATATCAGCTCCTCCACCCCCGTCGCCACCCCCAGCTCCAGCTCCGTCGTCGTCGTCCCCAGCTCCTCCAAGCCCGTCATCCCCGTCGTGCCCACCTCTGCTCCCTCTGCGCCCACTGGTGTCGCCGCCACGGGCTCGGCCACGACCCCCGCCGCCCCCGTCTTCACCGGCGGTGCCTCTCGCGCCGCTGCTGGCGCCGGTGCCGGTCTCGCTACCGTCTTCGGTATCGTGGCCTACCTTCTGTAAGCGTTGAGTCTGGTGATTGGGGGGAGTTGTCTGTTCTAGAGTTGGATCTATGAGTGGATGACTGGTGGTTTCGTTCTACTATTCCCGGAGAGAATCCGAGAATATGTAGGCTGTTGTTCCGTGGATACGACTAGCCTTTAACCTATTCAACTTTTGTTCATATTGCGATTGCGTCGGCAGCCTGCTGTTTGTTCCTAGTGTTTATACCTTTTAATGGGCATGATTATGGTACCATACACCCCCCTCGTACACTATACGCTCCCCGTGTCATCCATCCCCCACAGAAATGACTATAGCTTCGCCTTCCCCCGCCCCTCAAAATACTCCCGCACCCGCGCCCTCGCGACCTCCACCACCTCAGCATCCTCCACCGTCGGCGGCACGCTCACCGCCGCGTCATACCGCCCCTCGACCGCCTGCTCCACCAGCTCCCGCAACACCCGCCGCAGCGTCTTCCCGCTCCGCGTCTTGGGAATCATGCCGCGCCCCTGGATCATCCCGCCCAGCGACGCAATCGCGCCGATCTGCTCGCGCACGCGCGCATTCACCGCCGCAAACAGCTCCCCCGGCGGCGTCGCCGGCAGCGGCCCCGTTCCCGCGTCCCCGCGCAACTGCACAAACGCAAACGGGAGATGGCCCTTGAGCGCGTCCGGCACGCCGACCACGCACGCCTCGCCGATCGCCGCGTGCGACAGGATCGCCTGCTCGATCGCTCCCGTGCTGAACCGGTGCGCCGCTACGTTGATGATGTCGTCCGACCGTCCCATGACGTGCACGTACCCCGCGCTGTCGACCATCCCCGCGTCGCCGGTGTCCACCCAGCGCCCGCCGAACCGGCCGAGGTAGGAGCGGTAGAAGCGTTCGTCGCTGTGGCCGTCGTCGTCGCTGAAGAGGCGCGTGAAGGCTGTTGGCGCGAGTGGTGTGCCCAGCACGATGTTTCCCATCGTCCCGGCCGGGACTTCGCGCCCCTCGTCGTCCACTACGCGTACGTCGAACCCGGGCATCGGTGGCCCTGCGGAGCCTGGTTTGGGAGCCCGTGGTGGGGAGTCCCAGTCGGCGACGCCGGGGGTGTCGGGGATGGCGGCCGCGGCGCTGCGCAGGGCGACACCCGTAATAGGCGACCCGGACTCGGACGACCACCAGTTATCGACGACGACGGCGCCCGGCGCGGCGTACTCCGTCAGTAAACTCTGGTAGCTGCGAACGATGCTAGGCTCGCTGCGCTCGCCAGCGAGGAACAGCGCGCGGAGGGAGCGCAGACCGCCGCGGGCCGCGACGGTGCGGAAGAGATCGTTGTTCGGGTCGTCTTTGCGGATGGCGCGCATGGCGGTGGGTGCGGTGAACAGCGTGCGCACACGGTGCTCCTCGACGATGCGCCAGAAGGTCCCAGCATCCGGGGTGCCGACGGGCTTCCCCTCGAAGAGCACGGTGGTGGCTCCCACCAGCAGCGGCGCGTACAGGATGTACGAGTGACCAACAACCCAGCCGAGGTCGGAGGCGCAGAACATGACGTCGCCGCGGCCGCGGATGTCGAAGAGGGAGCGGATGGACACGTGCAGGCCGACAGCGTGTCCGCCCGCCTCGCGGACGACGCCCTTCGGCCGGCCCGTCGTGCCGCTCGTGTAGATGACGTAGAGTGCGTGCGTGCTGGGCACGGGGACGGCGGATGCGCGTACCCCCCGCATGCGCGCGCTCTTCATCAGCCGCTGCCAGTTGCGCTGGCCGCCGCGCTTGTCCGGGTGGTTCCAGCGGTGCTGGTCGCGCTGCCATATGAGGATCTTGTCGGGTGGGTGTGTGCTGGCGGCGACGGCGGCTTCGACGAGTGGCCGGTACGGGATGACGCCCTTGGCGCCTTCGATGCCGCACGATGCGGTCATGATGGCCTTGGGGCGGGCTGCGTCGATGCGCTGCGCCAGGGAGTGCGGCGCGAAGCCGCCGAACACGGCGGCGTGGATGGCGCCTAGCCGGGTGATGGCCAGCGCGGCGATGAGCGCCGCGGGGATCATGGGCACTGTGGTCGTTAGCGTAGGTGTTCGGATGTAAATGGTATATGTGGAACGCACTGTAGATAATGACGACGTCGCCCTGGCGCACGCCCTCCTCGCGCAGCACGCCGGCCAACACCTCGACCTCATCGAGAAGCCGCGCGTAGGTGTAGGTCTCTTTGGTCCCCGTCACGGGCGAGTCCCAGATGACGGCGACATCGTCGCCATGGCCGGCCAGGACGTGTCGGTCGACGCAATTGTAGGTGGTGGAGATCTCGCCGTCCGGAAACCAGGCCCAGTGGTCGTGGGTGATGCCGCTGGGGAGGGTCTTGGTGGTGCGACGGACAGCCTGCGAGGGCTTTCGGTGCCAATGCAGTTGCTCTGCATGGTGCAGCCAGAAGCGCTCGGGGTCTTGGAGCGATAGTTGGTGGACAGCTTCTTGGGGGTGTGTCATGGTGCTGTGTATGGGATGAAAGCAAGAAGGGGGCTGCGGAGGAATGTTTGGGACAGTCTAAGACCGAGGGTTGCCGAGCGGTCGTGCGGGGATTCTTAAATGCATGCTTAGTAGGTATGTAGTATTACTTAGCTTACTTGTTCACCGTCTGTCGTAAATTCGCCCCCCGCAAACCGATAATCGAGTCCGGGGAAATGGATCTACGGATAACCCGATGGATCCATGGATAACCCGCAAGAACCCGAGGTACGGATGTCGGCTGTTTCATACCTAAGCATGCATCTCCACCGCTAGACAATCAATAAAATGAACAATAACTAGAAGCACTAGAATTTAGAGCATCTAGGTAGCAGCGATTAGAAAAAAATCCTCGTCTTAAAATGCGCGATATCCGTCTCCTCATCAGACACTTCCGACGGTCCTTCCCACTCCAACCGAGACTCATCACCCTCCGCCCACCATCCTCTGGCCCCCCTCCAATAGAGCTTCCGCCGCGTCACCAACGATTCCACAATGCGATCTTGTTGAGCTTGATCTGGCATGGCCGGACCATAGTCCAACAAGATGGATGACTGGTGAGTCGAAAAACCCCATTTCCACCAGTCGGGAGTAATCCCACATCACATACCCCCATCGCCGAAGATCATGGACTTCATAGCTGCAAACAAACGCAGGCCAGTTGAGCTCCAGGTGGGCGTGATGCCATGCTTCTGCGGGCCCGGGATCGGTATCGGACCTCTTGGAGCCTTCCAATGACTTTAGTTGCTCGGCGGTGTAGTCCTTGAGTGGGACTGTCTCATCTACATCGGTATGAAAAATGTCCTGCACGTCACTGGGTAGAAAGATGGCAATTCCCGAGGCCTTTGGGCTCAGCAGACGGTAACGTTCCTCGTAGCTGTCGGTGGTGATGGCCTTTGCTAGAAATGGAAGACCCTCCGAGAGCTATGAAAATAGCTTAGCCATTGATCCAGGAATATACGGAGAGATACTTGCCAACGCCGTTATGCAGGTCGCACCATAGTCAGACTCCCATGCTTCGTTGTAGCCGAACACGACGCCACGAAACCCCCAGTCTACATCGTGGGCTGCAATCTCATTGAATGCTTAGGAGTGTAAGCCACGAGACGAGAAGAGCATGCCGTGATCACATGAAGAGAGTAGTCATACGGATTGCGATCTTGCGGTATAGATATTCGCTGACACAAGCAAGCTGTTCTAGCTCCCAGACTGGGCAGTCGATGTACCAGATGTTCCATTGCTCACGCCGTGAAAAGTCTGGAGACGGTTTGTTTTTGGCGCGCCTCCGATCTCGTTTTCGGAATAGATGCCGGTGAATCTGGAAGCGATAGAAGGTCCTGACAATGCGGGACCATTCCAGGGACGATGCTGGGCGTACCCATCCCGTGCCTTTGATTGACTGAGCGGCGGATATGAAATCCGAGGAGAAGAATTCGATGTCATGGTGTAGATCTTGGATTTGGAAGGCTTGTCTGACGGACAAGTTCAGTGACATAGGGGGCTGGGGATTTCTGTACTGTTCAATGATCGAGATGACTCTCTCTCGCGTCCAAGGCTCTGATTCCAGAACAGATGCATTCAAGACACATATTGCCTCATTCATCAGTCCAGATGGTATGATGCTTGAGAGAATGCGATACACGATAACATTCTGATGGCTGACGAAGGCAGAGTAGAGGGAAGAGTGCGTGAGGATCGCAGCTTTAAGGGCGTGTAGATCGTCGAGATGCCCAAGGATCGCCTGGCGCGATTCCAGAGGCAGAGTACAAAGAGAAAGTCGAGAAGGTGGGGGAGACTCATCCATCTTGTGTTCATGCAGGAAGTGAGAAGAGGTCACTACTACTACCTAGCCATCGGAGGGCAGGATAGAAGTTACCTTTAAAGGCTGGAGGGGGAGCAAGAGTCATTCATTGCTTTGTGACTGTAACAAAGAGGCTCAGCGCCAAGACTCGTTGTAGTATCCCATAGGAGGCTGTATAAGCGCCCACCCATGCATAGGCCAGCTCATACACCTGGCGCAGCCTCTTCAATCGATGGTCACAACTTAGACTTAGGCGAAATGAACCATGCGACAATACCGCCAACCGCAGCGAGAAAGGCCCATCTAGTAAGACCTTTCTTGATATAGTATTCAGCCGCACGATCGATTGCCTCTGAATCATTTAACCGCGGAAAGGGAATATACTCTGGCACATCCTTTCCCAGAGCCCTACACAGCGGCTCCCAGCCTTTCTTCACATCGAAAAAGACCAACCGATCCGGAGGGACGACATCCTTCAACCAAGCAATATGCCGGTGGTAGACCTGGAGAGTCGATTCTCTCCTCCCATATATCTGCTGCCACAGGTTCCGGAGGAGCGAGATGAATCTGACAAAATGCCTCATTCCAGAAAGTGGCAGGAGGACGACTCGGAGAAAGCACGACGTCGCCAAGTTACGGAGCTGCTTGTGACTCTTTGCCCAGGCTTCCGGGTCCCGGACTGTGCAGATGACCATTGCGTCGGGATAAAGCTCCAAGAGCTCTGGGATCAGCTGCGCGCAGGGGGGCATCGGTGACGGCAGCATATCCATCCAGATTCTTCGCGATCAGCTTGAGGGCTTCCTCCCTGTCTCGGGGCTCCCGTGTTAGCCGGTGACGCAGGATCTTCATCCATGACCTTATCTCTGACGGTGATCCCATCGTGGCCTGTGTTCCGCCATGATACACGGGGCCTTCCAAAAGGATACTTAATGCGCTGCTGAAGGAAGCCGTCCCCGTACGCGAGAGACCGGCACCGATCACTTGGATTTTGGTTCCTGGCTGTGATGTAGAAGCTTGTTGGCCCATGATGTCTGGAAATTATTGAGCATACAATGGCAATACTCGTTAGAAAATGAGAAGATTGTGGTTTAACAACGGGACACTGCGTAAACCAGAAATATAGGAACTCGTGTTGGGGTTGGACTCTATTTTATATCTCTGACCACCACAGAGGCCAAATGGGCGAATGGATTATTAGTGCTTATACAGACATGCGCGGTTGCACAGGCACATGTCCAACCAGCTGGTAACCTCTTCAGTCCCCTTCAAGTGTCTCTGGATACAAGATATTCTCGACAGGGTAATGCATGTTTATTGTCGGAGCCTTAGGCGCCGAGATTCCTCTTTAGGACTAGCACTTTCCTCTGCCCAATTGGCAAAATCGCATTCACCACTTCTTGAGCTTCACCTCTTCTCCCCTCTCTGTCATTTTCCCTTGGGAACTACCGTACTGCCCTGATATATTGTCGGCAACTCAAGATAAGACCTGGTGATCACTGACTGGACAGTCTATAAAGTATCATCCCTATCCGAGAGGCCTGTTGGGGAATGCACTTGAGATCGACAGTGACAAGTATCCATCTAGGATCAGTCTGATAAGAGGACTTATAACTGCCTCCATAGGCCTCCACCAATGGTTGAGTCTATACCAACTGTATACAGTTTTCTCCCATCCATCTCACAATTGGTTAACATTGAAGACCGCCCAACTGATCCACAAAAGTATGACAACTCCAAAGCAATACACCAGTCTCTCTCCAAATTCCTGCCATTTGGACAGACCCCACGTATTCCACCATTCTAGCTTCGGCCAGTGCTTTCCCGAGCGCTCAGTCAACGGCAAGAATTGCAGTACTTCACCATTGTACGAGTTCCGCACCACTCCCAACGCAAAGAGATCGCCACAGTGCGGCGCCACATATCGCGTGAAGGCCGTGACCACCCATCCTTGGCATGCCTCCAGTCGCGTAATCCAGCGTGATTCTAGATGGATAGCGTCCAGTCGTTTGCGGTGTCTCTCGCTGAAGTTGGCAAGCGCCCGGTGAATGGTATCATCCGACGGTTGGTGGTGGTTTTGCGTGATGGCGTATATCACGTTAGCCAGTCCAGCTGCTGCTTCAATGGCAGTATTGGCACCTTGTCCGATGTTGGGGGTCATCTAGCGAACGACTCTATTAGCGTAAGAATGGGAAAAGAGCTTCATGCAAGACACACCTTGCTGATACTATCCCCGATGCAGATGATCCGGCCATGATGCCAGGTGCGAAAGAGATTCTCCTCTAGCGCAACCATCCGGAACCCCCGGCGCTGAGCCCAGATATCCCGGAACCGTACTTCCTGCCAGACAGGCTGACTGGCGGCTGCCTCACAGCGTGTAACGGCGTCCTCTTGCGAGAACCGCGGAACATCAGGGTAGATATACTTGTGCGGTAGCTTCTCAATCAGCACCCAGAAGAGGCTGTCCCCCGCAGCGGGAAATATCAAGAATGTAAAGCCTGGTCCGATCCGAATTATATGCTGCCAGTGCTTTCGCCCGGGGATCGGGTTGGACATGCCGAAGATACAGCTGAACTCGACGGACATGCCTGGACGCAGAGAATCAACAGTTAATAATGGGCGGAATCGATAATGGTTCTAGAAACATACTGGCCTGTTCTTTGAATGGGATCAACCCCGGCTGCTCTATGTTGGCAATGCGCCACATCTCCCGCCGCGTCACGCTGTGCACGCCGTCCGCGCCGACAACCAGGTCTCCCTGGAATTCGTCCCCATCCGCAGTGGTGACAGACATCTTGTTGCCGTGGGGAGTTATCCGGACGACACCTTTGCTCGTGAGAACCCTGGACTTGTCGGGCAGATGAGTGTACAGGATTTCGAGTAGCTGCGTCCGTTCCAGAGCGGCGAACTTCAAGCCAAATCTGCTTGTCCACTGGGTTAGCATCCTCATTCGACTTTGTTTCACCCTCTCGGAGATCAATGAAGCCCGGACCTTTTCAAGACGACACTAGGTGAGAGGCTATCATAGTAGAACCCATCTTGAAAGCAAAGATGCACCCTTTGAAATGGCTGGCATCGGTCTTCAATATGCCGAAAGATCCCCAACTGCTCCATAATCCGTCCTCCATTCGGCAGGATGGCCACTGCGGCGCCAATCGGAGGATGGACTTCATGATGCTTCTCCAGCACCACATAGTCTATGCCAGCCCGATGAAGACAGTGAGCGAGGGTTAGACCCGTGACAGAAGCTCCGACGATGATGACCTTGAATGAGGGGCCTTTTCCTTCCATCGTTGGATATGTGGCTCTGAGGGTGGCCAGCCAGGATGCGGACCTCAGTATGGGTCTGGGCATACCTTGGGTTTTCCAATCGACGCTGACCGGCAAACCGGGCGAAAGACCATCCGAGGAGACTCGGCTTCGTGTGTATGCCGCTCGGCTCACTGGAAATGTCCAGCCGAGCCACGCCGGGAAGTCCAGATGCAGGGTGGATGTCTGTGGTTGTGAAACCTGCGACGTAATGCCGTGCTCTTAGCCACGCTCACTATAACTGTTCTAAGTCTGATAATTGGGCTGAACGGATATTGATCCGTGTCTTCGAGGTAGCCGAGACTGCGGGAGGCTGGGCCATCTCGGTTGCACGGCAGTCTGATTTGAAACCTGAGCAGACTGGATGCAAACAGATAGGAAACCCGTCTAAGGTTAGCTATACTGCCGGGACGTTCCACGAGAACGCCAAGTATAGGCCGTTATAGCAGTTGCGTATGCAGGATAGCTGCCATGCATGTCCTGACATCCAAACGTCCTGGTCATAGCTCCACTGGGTCATGTAGGCGACGATATGTCTGAAACGTAGTAGCACGCTATCCAATAGTTCGCGCCTCCGGGAGCTCCGCCGCATGTTTGTCTAAACTTGACGGAGTGGCTTGTGGAGAATCGTAAAGGAGTATACTAGAGCAAATATTGAGTAGGAGACTTATCAATATCTCCGCAATAGCGAGCTCTTCGGGGTTCCGGCCCCGTGGTCAAAACTAGAGGCGCCTACGGATCATCGCAGCCGGATCGCCACCAGGAACAAAAGTAGAATGATTCACAGGCCTATCAACCGAATCATACACGGACGGAGATATTTGCGATATACGATATGTCACTTCTGTCATCCTTCTTTATGGCCCTGTATGTGAGTATATCGTTCTCCTACAATTAATGGGTAAAACAAGCTGGCAGAACGCCTGGAGCCATATGTAATATCTACGCTATCCTAGTCTATATCGGTAATACATGAGAAGCAAGTCTGCACTGTCCGGTTTGCGCGGCATGAGGTAAGAGTAAGAGGCGATGCGCGATCGACAATTGTATACCTTCGACAAGGACGCAAATCAACATTTCAGCACCCAAGAGATCTTTCGAAAAGAGCCAGTGGCATCATCGGATCCCGGGTGTGACATACTCCCGCCTCCAGCTACGTGGACCTGGAGCAACTATACGGACCAGGTTTGGGACGAAGTCGTGATAAGAGGATGGCAAACTCGGCATATGGCCAGTGACGTGATCTGGCAGATCAATTTGAAATCCATCAAGTCAGGCTCGAATGCCTGGTAGGGCTAGATAGTGGCTAGTACGACAACTTATCGTGGGAGCACGCTTGGTCCAGCGAGTGGACATTGGAACAACGACCAGGCATGCTTATCTCCCAAAGAACGAAGAACGAGCAGAAGCGAGTGACACCATGGAACAGAGACCCGAGAACGTGCAGCGCAAGAACAGAGAAAGACCAACAACGGCAAACAGAAAGATCGAAGCTGGGTGGCGCGTCGATATCAAAATTGAGATTCCTCCCACAGCAACCAAACGGCAGCACCGCAGGGACCTGAGATCAGACAAAGAACTCCAACTTTCAGCGCTAGATAGCAAGTCTGTAGGAATGACGACTGCTGCTCCACTGTCCACCGCATATGCATTGCCCAGAGGAGAAAACTCCCCATTCCAATGAGATGATCCCACTGTAGGAACCAAAGCCCTCCTTGGGCCATGGATTGAACCTGAACAGTGCCGCCACCAGCAAACTGCCAAGGCAATACATCGGCCAAGAGGTTTGTAGGAATCAGTGTCAGTGAGAGCCCCCAGCTAACCGCATGTGGGATAATCGCGCATACAAACGCAAAGGAACATGCCGTCCGGCATGCTGTTCTCACGGAGATACCCTCCTTCAGTCTCGATCTGAATAAGACCCGCAAACCCCAGTGCCACAGCGCTACATAGATTGGCCAGATCTGCCATACTGCAATGGCGATCTGTTTGCTGAACAAGTTCTGGTGTGTGCTTTCCGGAAGGAGCATGCCGATAGTGGGGATTCCAAAGCCCAGAACCATGCTAATTGGAATGAGGCGTATGGAATGAGCTGCTGAGGCCGAGACAGCGCGGGTAATTGGGCGTGGTGACGACGACGACCAGATGGAGATCGCGCACCAGAGGGGTACGATGACAGCGATGGCCACGACCTGGGATAGCATGGCGAAAAGGGTTGGACTATGCCGGTTAGTCGATACCATGACCCAAAAATGTAGAACAGGGATACGAGGCCATAGACACTCACGATCGCAGCAGGCTGTTGCGGTTCGGTGATCTCCAGCTTTGGACCTGGATCGCCACCCACACGGCCACTATTGCACCCAAGAAATGAAACGCCTGGAGGCTGAGACCGGGATGATTGCCATCTAGCACGGGCCAGTAGAAGACAATCAGGTTTCCCAACAACTCGTCCAATCCGGTTCCGGTGATGTTGCCTTGCAAGGGCTCTGCCGTGCCGGATAGCTTTCGCTCTCGGTAGCTGTTGGCCATGAGCTCGAGGAAGCCATTGCGGAATCCAAAGCCGTAGATGGCGTCTAGTCCAAGGACAGACAAGCAGAGAAGGAAGTAGGCAGAGAGGGCCATTGTGAATGCGTTACGATGAGGATGATGGGAATAATAGTTGGTAAGACAGTGAGTATAAATACGAGACCCAGACTTCAATATAACATCAATCTCATACAGCAGCCTATGATACTCGAGCAAACTAACACCAAATATTCAGCCTGCACAACACGCCACCATCACACTCGGCGCTATCATTCCTGCACTTTGACATCACTGCAAGACACCCTAGCGACGAGGCTTCCGTGCCTTGAACATCAGGACCGTCCCAATAATCACGCTCTCCACCTCCTCGAACTCCTCCTCCAGCGCACGGACAAAGTCATCTGGGAAGTCTGCCCGATTTTGAAACATATCCACAGCATTGTAGATACGTTGCAGGAGCCAATTGAACCAGTTCTGCCGAACCCCACGGCACAACAGCGTAGACCCGAAGAGGGTACCACTGTCCTTGAGGAGCGGCTTCAAGTTGGCGAACACGCGCCCCTTGTCCTTTGAAGCCCCCGGGAGACAGTGCAGGACATACATAAGGGATATGGAGTCGAACTGGCGTTCAGGCTGTATGGGGATGGGCTCCAGGATATTGGCCAGCACACACTCCGTACGATCCGCTATCCCCACACGGTTGGCAGCTTTCCTTAGACATCGGATGTGGAAGTCCACTAGCGTCAGCTTGTCTTGAGGCCAGGACGGCTGGCGCTTCCGCACGGCAGAGAGATAGTAGCCCGTGCCCACGCCAACATCACAGTGTCGAGATCCAATGTTGGATAGGAAGAAAGGGAGGAGAATGTTCTTAGACGAACACTTCCAGGCAAAGAGCGCGCTGACCCAATGGACCCAGAAGTCGTACCACCACAAGAGAAGAGGGTTGTAGTAGTTATCGGCACCTTCGGCATCGGAAAGCTGGTAGAAGGTCATGGTGAGGATATCGGTACGCTGTGTTCTGGTAGAGAGAAGACTTGGAAAAGGACGATAGAGAGATATCAGCCGAAAGAGATAGATTTCTGCTTGTTCCTTTGTATGTCCTCTCTCCAGCTATTCCTCGGCGAGCACGAAGTCCAGGCGGGTCTCGCGGGTGCAGGAAAATAATCTGGTTTCAGATTCAGATTTTAAATTGGCCGAAAAGGCTGAGAAGTTGAAGCTGAAGTGCGAAGATCATGCAGCCACCAGTTTGCTCCGAGGTGGTATCCATGTATTCAGCTTGCAGATATCATGCATGCATTCAGACATGTGAACTGCTAGATACCAAAGCCACAGTTATGTCATATCGAGGAAGTACTGTCATGAGTGAGTCTGGGATGCTATCAGGTCAAATAGCAGCTTCACCCGAGCTGAACTTGATAAACAGAGAACTCATTGCTCTTGTTGACACTGTTCAGTAGTCCTATCAACAATCCTCCTATATCTTTGTCGATACACACATACCCGTACATACTTGTCGCTCCATATGGCACACATGGAACCGATTGCCATCGTTGGCACAGCCTGCCGATTTGCTGGGTCGTCATCTAGTCCTTCCAAGCTTTGGGAACTTCTCCAGAACCCCAGAGATGTGGCATCAGAGCCACCCGCAGATCGATTCAATATTGACGCTTTCTATGACCCGGAGGGCTCCAACCCCATGGCAACCAATGCCCGCCAGGGGTACTTCCTCTCTGACAACGTCAAGGCCTGCTCCATTCTTCAATATCTCCGCCACCGAAGCGCTGGCACTCGATCCGCAGCAGCGTATGCTGCTGGAAGTCGTCTATGAGTCGCTAGAGACCGCTGGCCTGCGTTTAGATGCTCTGCGTGGCTCCCCGACGGGAGTCTATTGTGGTGTGATGAACTCCGACTGGGAGGGCATCTTCAGCGTTTCGTGTGCAGCACCACAATATGGGAGCGTGGGGGTTGCGCGGAATAACCTCGCCAATCGCATCTCTTACTTCTTCGACTGGCAAGGCCCCTCCATGTCCATCGATACAGCCTGCTCTGCGAGCATGGTAGCTTTGTATGAGGCTGTCTCCGCACTCACTCGCCACGACTGCAACCTGGCTGCAGCTCTTGGTGCCAATCTCATGTTGTCCCCTCAGATGTTCATCGCTGCATCCAATTTGCAGATGCTGTCCCCAACCAGCCGCAGCCGCATGTGGGACGCTCAGGCTGATGGTTATGCTCGGGGCGAGGGCGTTGCATCTGTGCTCTTGAAACGTCTTTCAGACGCAGTGGCCGACGGTGACCCTATCGAATGTGTTATCCGAGCTGTCGGCGTGAACCATGATGGCCGGAGCATGGGATTCACCATGCCGTCGAGTGATGCACAAGTGCAACTGATCCGGTCTACTTATGCGAAGGCGGGATTGGATCCTCGCAGCGCGGAAGATCGACCCCAATATGTTGAAGCCCATGGTACAGGCACATTGGCGGGTGACCCCCAGGAAGCTTCCGCCCTTCACCAGGCCTTCTTCAGTTCCTCGGACGAGGATACTGTCCTGCATGTCGGTTCCATCAAGACAGTCGTAGGCCACGCGGAAGGAACTGCTGGTCTGGCCGGCCTTATAAAGGCATCCCAGTGCATCCAACACGGCATAATTCCTCCCAACCTTCTTTTCAATCGCTTGAACCCGGCCCTGGAACCTTATGCACGGCAATTGCGAGTTCCGGTGGACGTTGTCCCCTGGCCTCCTCTCTCGCCAGGTGTTCCCCGACGTGTTTCAGTGAACTCTTTTGGCTTTGGAGGTACCAATGCTCATGTCATTCTGGAAAGCTACGAGCCCGCTGAAGGCCTCATCAAGGTCGACTGCAACCAAAATGCCGTACTTCCATTTGTCTTCTCGGCGGAGTCAGATTTTAGTCTTGGGTCGGTTCTGGAACAGTATTCCAGATATCTCTCCAGAAATCCCGATGTGGAAGTACACGATCTGGCATGGACCCTACTGGAGCGCCGTTCCGCGCTGATGCACCGTGTCGGCTTTTGGGCGCCGGATATTGCGCACCTCAAGAGAAGTATTCAGGATGAGCTCGCCGTCCGCAAAGGAGGGGCTCCATCGACATTGATTTGCCGACCACATGGTAAGACCAGGAAGCACATCTTGGGCGTCTTCACTGGCCAGGGAGCTCAATGGGCGCAAATGGGACTCGAGCTAATCACCACGTCCAACACTGCGCGAGGCTGGCTAGATGAGCTGCAGCAGTCTCTCGATGCTCTGCCGGAGCCGTATCGTCCGGGGTTCTCACTCTTTCAGGAGCTTGCTGCAGATTCGGCTACATCACGGTTATCGGAGGCCCTCTTGTCGCAGACCCTTTGCACAGCAATGCAGGTTATCTGGGTGAAGATGCTTTGGGCTCTGAATATCCACTTTGATGCTGTGGTAGGCCACTCTTCCGGCGAGATTGCTGCAGGTTTTGCGGCCGGCTTTCTGACAGCTGAGGATGCTATTCGCATTGCCTATCTTCGAGGCGTGTTTTGCTCGGCTCCAGGTAGCTCGGGAGAAGGTGCGATGCTGGCCGCTGGTCTTTCGATGGACGAAGCGACTGCACTCTGTGAGGATGTTTCCTCGTCCGAGGGGCGAATAAACGTGGCGGCGTCCAACTCTCCTGAAAGCGTCACGGTGTCTGGAGACCGGGATGCAATTCTGCGAGCTGAACAGCTGTTGAAGGACAGGGGAATCTTCGTCCGTCTACTGCGCGTCAGTACGGCCTACCACTCCCATCACATGCAGGCATGTTCGCAGCCCTACCAGGATGCATTGAGGGGTTGCAACATCCAGATTCAGACCCCGATGTCCACCACCACCTGGTATTCAAGCGTCTATGCTGGGCGGCCCATGGAGGAAGGGTCAGTCACAGAGACGCTCGGTACAGGAGAATACTGGGCAGAAAATCTGGTCAGTCCTGTGTTGTTCTCGCAGGCACTAAGTGCTGCCATGTCCGCTACAAACCCTTCCCTGATCGTCGAAGTTGGACCTCATCCAGCGCTGAAAGGACCTGCCCTACAGACACTCTCAGGAATCACTCCAGCGGAGATTCCTTATATCGGGGTATCTGTCCGGAACAACAGTGCCATAGAGTCCATGGCCACAGCCATTGGGGCTTTTTGGGCCCATCTTGGTCCACAAGCCATCAATCCGCGCGGGTACCTGGCTCTTTTCCAGCCCAACACTAAGCCTTCAGTTGTCCGTGGGCTGCCTTTGTATCCTTTTGACCATCGCCAAGAGCACGGTTATCAGACCCGCAAGGCTAATGGTTGGCTGTACCGACGGAACACACCACATCCGCTCCTGGGGTCTTTGAGTGAAGACCTTGGGGAGGGTGAGCTGCGGTGGAATCATTATCTATCCCCGCGGCGAATCCGGTGGCTCGATGGCCACCGCGTCCAGGGCCAAATTGTCGTCCCCGCCACAGCTTATATCGTGATGGCTCTCGAGGCAGCTCTGGCCCTGGCTGTGGTGAAAGAAAAGAGCTTGCATCTAATCCGTATAGACGACCTAATTATCGGTCAAGCCATCTCCTTCCAGGATGAACGAGACGAGGTCGAGACTCTCTTCCACCTCCCCCCTATGTTGGAGAACAGGGATGACAACACGGCAGTCGGTCGGTTCCGCTGCCAGATGGCTGCTTCTGGAGGTCACATCAAGACGTGTGCAGAGGGCATCCTGACAGTGACCTGGGGTTCACCACAGGATGATGTCCTCCCATGCCCTGTGTTTCCATCGCCCGCAGGGCTGGCCGATGTGACCGACATGGAGGAGTACTATGCGTCGCTTCGAACCCTGGGTTACGAGTACACTGGGGTCTTCCAGGGAATTCATTCCCTCTCCCGGAAGATGGGTATCGCCACCGGCCAAGTGTATAACCCTGCCTTAACCGGGTTTCTCATCCACCCAGCAGTCCTCGACACCGGATTACAGGGTCTTCTAGCTGCCGCAGGGGAAGGACAACTCACGACCTTACATGTCCCAACCCGCATTGATACAGTCAGCGTAAACCCCGCTGTCTGCTCTATTGACTCGCTATCCTTTGAGGCTGCCGTCACTCGGACAGGCGCAGACGGCATTGTGGGCGACGTGGAGCTGTACACAGCTGCCAACGGCCCTGGCGCCGTCTTCTTCGAAGGTGTGCACGTCTCCTCACTGGTGCCGCCATCCGCGGCAGATGATCCGTCAGTATTTTGGGTGCAGCATTGGACGCCCCTTGTCCTGGATGTTAACCGTTCAGAATCTCGATTGTCGCCAGAATGGATGACCGTGTTAGAGGGGTATGAGCGCCGGGCGTTCCTTGCACTGAAAGACATCCTCCAGGAGGTCACGCCAGAACTTCGTGCCACTTTCGACTGGCATCGTGAAAGCGTAGTCAGCTGGATCGAGCACATTATGGAGGAGACCCGTATGGGTCAGCGCGCTTCCTGCAAGCCTGAATGGCTAGGTCAAAACCTCGAGAATCTTGGACACATATGGGGACGACCAGACGCCAGCATCGAGGATAGAATGATGTATCGAGTTTACCAGAACCTGCTACCCTTCCTCCGCGGGGAAGCAAAGATGCTAGATGCTCTCCGGCAGGATGAATTGCTCACCCAATTCTACCGCGACGAGCACGAGCTGCGCGACGTCAACCGCCGACTGGGTCAGTTAGTTGGTGACTTAGCCGTGCGTTTCCCGCGTATGAAACTCCTCGAGGTTGGCGCGGGGACAGGCTCTGCCACTCGAGAGGTGCTCAAGCACGTTAGCCGGGCTTATCATTCCTACACGTTCACGGATATCTCGGTTGGGTTTTTTGAAGACATGTTGGAGACGCTACCCGAGCACGCAGATCGTCTTATCTTCCAGAAGCTCGATGTTGGCCAAGACCCATTGGAGCAGGGCTTTACTGAAAACGCGTACGATGTGATCATCGCCGCCAATGTGCTTCATGCCACGCCGGCACTGCACGAGACCCTGCGCAACGTGCGGCGCCTGCTCAAGCCAGGAGGGTATCTGATCGCACTGGAGATCACCAACATTGATGCGATCCGCATCGGCTACTTGATGTGTGCCTTCGACGGCTGGTGGCTCGGCCGGGAGGACGGCCGTCCGTGGGGACCTGTGGTCTCTGCATCACAGTGGGATAGCTTACTCCGGGAGACGGGATTCGGTGGGATAGACAGTATCACCGATCGCGCCGCCGACGAACTCACCATGTACTCTGTATTTGCTGCCCAAGCGGTGGATGACCAGATTACTCGAATTCGAGAACCTCTGACACCACTCCCTCCTCAACCTCCCTTCTGCCGGGGAGTGATCATCGGAGGCTCGCCTAATCTGGTGACAGGCGTAAGAGCCATTATCCATCCTTTTTTCTCAGATGTTGAACATGTTTCCGCCATCGAGAACCTCACGGAGGGAGCTCCAGCTGTTGTGTTGATGGTGGCCGACCTGAGCGACACTCCCTGCTTCCAAAGTCTTACGGAGTCAAGACTGGCCGGGCTCAAGGCACTTGTGAAAATGGCTGAGAAGACACTCTGGGTAACCATGGGCTCTGAAGCGGAAAATCCTTTTCTTTGCCTCAGCAAGGGTTTTCTCACCTCGATGAATTATGAACATCCAAATGTCTTCCAATATCTGAACATTATCGACCCGGCTGATGTCCAACCTGTGGTCCTGTCTGAGCATCTTCTGCGACTGGCTCATACCACCCAGAACAACGACTTCACCCTCACAAGTTGCGTCCACAGCACAGAGCTAGAGCTGCGTCTCTACCCGGGCGGAATTTTGAAGTTCCCACGCATTAACGCGAGCAATGTTCTGAACAGGCGGTATGCCGCAGCTCGGCGCCCGGTTACCTCTCCTGTTACCGACATGCAGGAGAGCGTGGTCGTACTTGGTCAAGGCCCAGATGGAAAGCTCCAACTTCTGCTTGGGGAGGAGAGGCTTTTAGGTGATCGCACAGGCGTCACCATCAACGTCCGATACTCGACCAATCGCGCGGTTCGCATCAATGGCGCAGGATATCTGGTTCTTGTTCTCGGACAGGATAAAGTCACCAAAACACGTCTGGTGGCTCTGGCAGGCCAATCTGCGAGTGTCATCTCAACTTCCTGCTATTGGGAGATCCCAGCAGATATCTCCGAGGAACAAGAGGCGGCGTATCTGTACGCAACGGCAACAGCTTTGCTGGCTGCCAGTCTGATTCAGTCCAATGGCACCACAATCCTAGTACATGGTGCTGATGCGATACTGCGCCATGCCATTGCCATTGAGGCTGCTTCACGGGTCGTTCAGCCTATATTCACTACCACATCTCCCTCGGCTGCATCATCAACAGGTTTTGGGAAGAGCATTCTCGTTCATCAGAACGAGTCCAGGAGACAACTGGCTCATCTTCTCCCTCGATATTTCACGGCTGCCGTGAATTTCGACTCCAATGACCATCGACTCTTTGACCGAATGATGGCAATCGGTCATCAATCGGGTGTCACCCAAGAACATCTTCTTACCACTTTGACAGCTGTCCTCCCCCGTCCCTCTGCATCTTCACTCCCGGCCCACCCTCAGGCGGTCATAGACGCTCTTCGCAAAGCCGCTTTGACTGCTTATCAACTCACCGTTCAATCGACAGCACCGGGTCATATCGCCACATCAATCGCAGACATCCAATCCTGTTCACAAGAACTAGCAGTCGCCGATTGGACACCACCTTGCGGCTCGGTTCCAGTACACCTCCAGCCGGCCAGTCAACTGGTCCGTCTCTCTGCACAAAAGACATATCTTCTGGTCGGTATGACCGGCGCTCTCGGCCAATCCATCACGCAATGGCTGATCGCCCGCGGCGCTCGCAACATCGTCCTCACCAGTCGCAACCCATCTGTGGATCCCGCGTGGATCTTAGAGATGCAGAGCACGACAGGCGCGCGTGTCCTCGTCACATCAATGGACGTGACAAGTCGCGCCTCGATTCTTGCGGTGGCACACGCTCTGAAGGCGGGATGGCCGCCGCTCGGCGGCGTCGTCAACGGTGCTATGGTGCTCTGGGACCAGCTTTTCGTCGACGCACCCCTATCCGTTCTGACGGGGCAACTCGCTCCAAAGGTCCAGGGAAGTCTTCTCTTAGATGAAATTTTCGGCCAGGAACCGGGCCTTGATTTTTTCATCCTCTTCGGTAGCGCTATCGCCACCATTGGCAATCTGGGCCAGTCGGCCTACACGGCCGCTAGCAACTTCATGGTCGCGCTTGCGGCGCGACGCCGCGCCCGGGGACTCGTCGCGAGTGTCCTCCAGCCAGCGCAGGTAGCCGGTACCATGGGTTATCTCAGAGATAAGGATGATAGCTTCTGGGCTCGGATGTTTGATATGATTGGACGGCACCTCGTCTCTGAGCCAGATCTGCACGAGCTCTTTGCCCATGCTATCCTGTCGGGTCGTGGTCCTCCATCTGACGTTGGATTTGGACCGGGTGAGGGCGAGTGTGTCATCGGGGGACTGAGCGTCCAAGACCCCGCTGTGTATCCGAATATCCTCTGGTTCCGTACGCCCAAGGTCTGGCCGTTCATCCACTATCACCACGAAGGAACTGGTCCATCATCTGCAGCGACTGGCTCGGTACCCCTGGTGGAACAGCTCAAGTGCGCGACTAGCTTAGCCCAAGTCGGGGAGGTGGTGGAAGCTGGCGTTGCGGCCAAACTGCATCACCGACTGCATCTCCCTGGCGAGGTTGGCAGTGGGAACGTCACGGGCGATACGCGGTTGACCGAGCTAGGGGTGGACTCGTTGATTGCAGTGGACTTACGGCGGTGGTTTGCACAGGAGTTGGAGGTGGATATTCCCGTTCTGCAAATGCTGAGTGGGTGCTCGGTTAAGGAGCTAGCTGCTGCCGCGACAGCGTTGTTGCAGCCAAAGTTTTACCCAGGGGTGGTGGGTGATTCTGACGTGGGGAGTGAGAAAGATGGTTCCTCGGATTCCCGTGGTGATACTTCTTCCTCCTCGTATCAGGTGATCACTCCGGAGGAGTCGGACTGATAGTGCTTTTAGTCGCTGTATTTACTCGTCTAGTCATCTTGTTCATTATCTACTAGTATCCGTTTGTCGTTATCGCGATGTGAGGGTATATACTAAGTGCAGATGGTGATAGCAGGATTCAACACTTCATCCATAGACCGTGAGATCTACTCTTCTGGGACATGTTATAGAGAAGTGGAATTCAATTTATTGAAGTACATAGTTTGGAATGGAATGTAAAACAATCTACCACGTAGTGGGTAGTGCAATGTGCAAGGAGGGCGAGACATAGCTGCGTGTAGAGTCACAGAGAGTGGAGACTACTATTTACCCTCCAACTCATCCAGGATCTTCTCACTCTTTGCCTTGGCGGACTCAAAATTGCCGACCATGTAGAACGCGTCTATAAGCAAACATGCGTCAGTGGTTTAAGTCTCATTGAAGAAGTTGGGGCAGATAATGTAGCAACTTACTCTCGGGCATATTATCACCCTGTCCATCGAGAACAGCCTTGAAAGACCGGATAGTGTCCTCAAGCGACACCAGCTGTCCCGGAATGCCCGTGAACACCTCCGCAACAGCAAACGGCTGACTGAGGAACTTCTGCAGCTTCCGAGCCCGCTCGACAGTGATCTTATCCGCTTCCGAAAGCTCGTCCATACCGAGAATGGCGATAATATCCTGCAGCGACTTGTACTCCTGGAGGGTGCGTTGCACGCGCATCGCAGTATCATAGTGCTCCTCGCCGACGATACGTGGGTCCATGAGCCGAGACTTCGATCCCAGCGGGTCTACAGCAGGGTATATACCCAGCTCAGAGATACCACGGGACAGTTCGGTCGTGGCATCCAAGTGGATGAAGGTCGTTGCGGGGGCAGGATCAGTCAGATCGTCAGCGGGCACGTACACGGCCTGCACGGAGGTAATAGAGCCCTTGGTGGTCGTGGTGATACGCTCCTGCATGGCTCCCATGTCGACCGCGAGTGTGGGCTGGTATCCCACTGCAGAAGGAATCCGGCCAAGGAGTGCAGAGACTTCGGATCCAGCCTGGGTGAAGCGGAAGATGTTGTCGATGAAAAGCAGGACTAGACGCAGTGTGTTAGGTATGTGGTGGGCGTATCTGAACGAGTGAAGCATTCATCTTACCATCCTGGCCTTCGTCACGGAAATATTCAGCAATGGTCAAGCCGGTGAGAGCAACGCGAGCACGGGCACCAGGAGGCTCATTCATCTGGCCGAAAACCAGCGCCACCTTGGAATCGCCATCAAGCTTGATCACACCCGTCTCTTGCATCTCATGGTACAGGTCGTTGCCCTCACGGGTTCTCTCTCCAACGCCGGTAAACACTGAGTATCCACCGTGGGCTTTCGCGATGTTGTTCTATCACGCAAGAACGTTAGCCTGGGGTATAAACGTGAGGGATAGAGAGAGGGAAGGAACTCAGACAATGAGCTCTTGAATAAAGACAGTCTTTCCTACGCCAGCACCTCCAAACAAACCGATCTTGCCACCACGAGCGTAGGGAGCCAGGAGGTCGACCACTTTGATACCGGTGACCAGGATCTCCGCATGAGTCGACTGCTCGGTGTACGCAGGAGGTTCGGTGTGAATGGGCATCAGACGAACACCTTCAATGGGGCCTCTTTCGTCGATGGGATCACCCGTGACGTTCATGATGCGACCCAGAGTGGCCGGTCCGACGGGTACCATGATGGGATTTCCGGTGTCGGCGACGGCGGTTCCTCGCACGAGACCCTCAGTACCTGTTGACTGGATTAGTATGCCTCAAGCTGGAAAGTGAGGTGCGTCTTTGGGCATACTCACCGTCCATGGCAATGCATCGAACGGTGTGTTCGCCTAGATGTTGCTGTTACGGGATCAGTCTCGCAGGCCGTAGGGGAGTCAGGACAGGATGGATGTACCGCAACTTCGAGGACCAGCTTCTTGCCTTGGTTGGTGGTCTCGAGGGCATTCAGAATGGGTGGAAGCCGGCCATGGTTGAATTGGACATCGACAACTATCAATCGTGGTCAGATTTGTCTGCAACTAATGCCTCAGGGGGCTCCCGTCGTACCTGCTCCGATGACCGTGTGAATTTTTCCCTGAGTCTTGTCAGCTCCTGCAGAGGTGGCAGTGCTGTAGAGAGAACGGCCAAGCTGAGGGATGCGAGACCGGGAGGCACAGGCTCCTCCCTTCAGAAGGCCGGACGACAGCCTGAACATGGTGCGTACGGTGGTGGTGATGGTGAACGTTTGTAGGAAGGAGGGTTGCACGAAGAAAAGTGAAAAAGAGGAAGAAAAGGGTGCTAGGACGAGAAGCCCCCTGGTGGTAGTTCGGTGACCAGGGCAAACAAAGAAACGTACTGAGCCATAGAGAGAACCTGCTTTGGCTGGGCGGTTGTACACATACAAAGAGTACCTCCAATGGAGGCGCGACTTTGGCTCCACTCCGATCGTCTTATTGGATGAGCGACCTCGGAAGTCCCAAAGCATGGTATCCGATTGGGTGGCCGTGCCCTTAGTGGGTGTCAACTCCGTCAAGATTGAGATGCTCTTCAAATTCCATTTCAAGACAGCCATAAGATCTATCAAGGACATGTGTACCAGGCATTCACGTATTCGACGACTTGTTTGTGATTTGTGACTTTTTCCTATATAAAACATTTCTATCATATGTATAACTCTATCATATTTGCTGAGACAGGACATGGGTCAAAGTATATCCCCAAGTCACAATGATTCAAAGCATAACCAGTATGCGAAAACTGAAACAAACTTCTTCACCGCGAGGCATTGCCATCGAGGACGAAGAACGAAGGAATGAATCCAGCATCCATGTCGAACAAGAAAGATGGCACCTGGCCAAAGCAGGTAACCAAAGACCCCACAGTTAACCCAAAGTCAGAGTGTACTGCGCGCTGGTCGAGCAAGAGTTGGTGTTCGTGTCATCGGGGTGCTGATAGGAATCAGCGCAGTTGGAGTCACCCGCGGCGCAGGAGGCGGCGGAGCAGCTCGAGTCGCTTGGGGTAACGGAGAACCCAGATTTGACGAACTCGGAGTCCGAGTCAAGGTTGATCGAGGACAGGTCCCAATAGAGCGTGCTGCCGTCCTGGGTATACTCGAACTGAAGGACACTGTCTTGGTTCTCGGAAGTCGACATCTTGATCGAAATGCCGCCGCCATTGGAGTTGGTCGCCCAGTTCTCGCTGTAGGTGCCCCCGCCGGAGGTCAGGGTTTGCATGTTGCCAGAAGTGGCAGAGGTAGTCCACAAGTACACGGTCGAGCCCATGTTGTTGACAATCTGGACGCTGCCGCTACCAGAGCCCGAGGTCGAAGAGGGGCTGGCGCTAGAGGAAGTGGACGTGCTGCTCGGTGTTGCGCTGGCGTCTCTGGCCTGGTGAGGCATAGCGGCCGCAGTGGCGGCAAGGAGAGTGGCAACGAAGGTGTTGGAGAACATCATCTTGGATATAAACGGTTGGTGTACGGAAGAGACTGAGAGTTGCAAGCAAAGAAGGAGAGAAAGGTCTTCTGGTCAACAGATAGACAATGCGCAAGAGAGTGGAAAGAATCGAAACCGAAGAGAATGGATTGAATCAAAGACTGTACAGAACAAGAAAAGCGCTTGACATGGTGAACAGCGCTTCTATTTATCATTCCTGGTGGAGCCAGCCTCGTGGCCACGAACCGTTCATGTTATACATCGGGAATGGGCCCATTAAGGTAATCTTTAAGCTTTTTTGCCATCGCCTTACATTTAAGGCACCAAGGCCCACGTGCTGTGTTCTAGAATTTTTCCACCCTTCAATCGAGCTTGGCTGGTACAAGATCTGGTTTGTTCAGGAACGGGAAAAGAATGGGGATGCTGACATCACCCGTTCCTCTCTTTGTCTTCCCCGGGTTCGACACGCACGATTTTGCCTCACCTTGCAAGATCCAGCGTCGAATACGGTATCTTTGCCGAGGAGTCCAGACTCAAAGCCCCCAGGAAAAAGGATACTCGCCCGAAGAGGTCGCCTCCAAGACAATTAGCTAAGGCACCTTCGGAGCTTCTGACTTGGCCGGCCCCCCATATCGCGGCCCACCATCTTGCGAATATAGCTGTGGTGGCGTGTACAGACGCGTTGCTGGTCTCTGATCCACTCTAGTGCTGTCTTCGCCATCAAGCAACTCCCGCAAATATCTATGGTTCGACCGCGGACATCATTGTCGTAGGAAAGGAGAAAGGCGGGCGAACGCTAGATTTCCTTACTCGTGCTGAGTTTGGAAACCGGGACATGCTAACAACTGTCGTGCACTCAACATATGACTATGAAAAAGGGACGAAAACATGGTGGCGAAGACACTTGACTGATCCATTGATCCATCCGGCAACCTCGGGGATTACGAAGACCTCGTCACCGTCTCGGTTCACGAAATCCAACACCATCTCGACAGCCATGATGAATCCTTGGCGTTCCCGAATATCCCCACTGCAACCTGTCAAAACAATAGCGACTGGTCAAACACAGGAGTATGATACTTTCTGCCTATTTCCAGTGCCATACGGCCATGGTGCCCAGGAGCACATTGAACCAGATCTAAGCGCAGGGCATACATCTACATAGCTTAAGTAGAGGCATCGTGATTGCCGAATCCCTCCCTCGATAACCCGATACATTCGGCACCTGGCCTGCAGTTCTGCCACCTTCCATGAGTTCGATACGAGATTGTGGGGGTTAGGCGAAAGATACGGGGACCTGAGGACACTTTCGCAGAGCAGGAACCGCTCATTAAATGGACGAGGGAGCAATTGAGTTTCAGTCGCAATCAGATATCACCAGTTCTTCGTGAGTCAACTGGGTAAACGAAGCCTTTGCATTAGCACCTTTCTGCTCCGTAAGACCGGATATCTGGTGGCCAAGACGCTAAATGACATCCGTCGGAGATAGAGGAGTTATCCTTATCATCGTCTCCAACCCGTCTCCAACTGGCCCGCCTCCGCATATTCATCGTATGCAACCCGACGAGATGAGATAGAGATAAGACGCAAAGATAGACAGAGCTGTGCCTAGCATGGAGTGAAAATAGTACTTAAAACCCCGTCAGAGGACGCCAAGAATGTGTACTCCAATACTCCTTGTAGGGTTGATAAGGGGTTGCGCTGTAGTTTAAGACGTAGCCACATATGCCATTTCTTACTTGTACCGCCCTCATACATCGCCCCGTGTGTGAATGTCTCGAGTGGTGCGTATCAACATGCTTCCACCTGCGCGACACTGGGCGACAGCCTCCACAGCCCTGTTTTGCCTAGCGGGTATATCAAGCGCCAATGCGGATATTTCAGCCGCCGGTAGGTTCACCACTCTCAGCGGAATACCCTATTATGTCGGTGGAATAGCAGTCTCCAAGATACGCGATATCCCCGACGTACCCTTGGATCATGGAGCTCTCACAGATGTCGATGTCTTGCCTATGACGGTCATCGGCACCAATTCCTCCTCGTACACTGGGAGTGAGCTCAATTCCACAATCCATGATTACATACGGAAAGACGACGTCTTCAGTTTCGACTTCCTCCATGGTATGTATAATTCTTATAGTGTTGTACGAGTGAATCCTTGTGTTCATTGGCAATCAGTGATATACCTTGACTCTGATAGACCGGGCCGTTGTTCGATCGACGCCAAGTCATTGCGTCCAGAGCTTCAGCAAAAAGCAGTCGCCTTGTTTATGGTCTCTCTCAGATGCTCAACTGGCAAGCCCTCCATCGCTGTCTCCAAACGTCTAACCCACGAGCTCCCTCCGGGCCCATACTTTGTTTCAGCCAAGACCGGGGAAGTATTCAAAGCCTACCGTCTCTACAAAGACACGCACTACGCGTTCTTGGAGCCGGCAGTCAGTGACGAACAGGGCGGGTATCTCCCGCTTCCCGCTACAACCAATGTATGATTTGGAGTCCATGTTGTCCTACCTGATATTAAGCCACTGTGCAGAATATTCTAGGACCTAGCGTAGCCGTCCCGTCCCGACTCTACTACAGACCTACAGCAGAAAAGCCCTTGGCAGGTGTATGCGTTTTCTCACCACCTCACTATCTTCTGTCGGTTGGAGTTGCTGATGGCATTGGCCGATAGGTTCGGCTAGGAGTGAAAGATATCTATCACGTCAAGGGTCTTCGGACAAGCGGCGGAAACCGCGCCTACTACTCGCTCTACGAGCCTCGCAACACGACCGGACCCGCAGTCCAACGACTGATTGACCAGGGAGCCGTCTTCGTCGGGAAAATGGGTACTGTGCAGTTCGCGAACGGAGACCGCCCGACAGCCGACTGGGTCGACTTCCACTGCCCCTTCAATCCTCGCGTAGGTTGTCGCTCCTCGTTCCACCGTACCGCATCTCTCATCTTCATACTAGGGAGATGGCTATCTCGTGCCGAGTGGTTCGTCGTCGGGTTCTGGCGCCGGCATAGCCGCATACGACTGGCTTGATATCGCAGTCGGAAGCGACACCGGTGGCTCCATGCGTGGCCCGGCAGGTGCCCAGGGCTTATTCGGTAACCGGCCATCGGAGGGGGCCATAAGCCTAGACGATGTGATACCGCTTTGTAGCGGGCTGGATACTGCGGGTGTCTTTGCTCGCAGCGCTCACACGTGGTCCAACGTGGTCCATGCGTGGTACGAGAGCTTCGACCGGAACTATTCTTCCTTCCCAAAGACGCTCTTGTACCCCACTAGCTCCTTCACCGCGGAAGCTATTGGCAGCTCCGATGCTGCAGAGCTTATCAGCAAGTTTGTGGCTAGGCTGGAGCGGTTCCTGGACGCCAACCGCACTCATGTTGACCTGGATGCGTCGTGGGATACCACGCGGCCAAGTGGAGCGCCAGCTACTTTGAACGATATGCTGCATTATGTGAGGCTGCTTCCCCTGCTTGCTTCATTCTATTTCTAACGGTCCTTTGGATGTAGACCTATGGGACTTTGATCACCGTGTATCAGTGGCTTCACCACGGACTACCCTTCTTCCAGGACTACGCTGCGAAGCACGACGGTCGCACGCCGTACATCAATCCCGGACCTCTTCTGCGCTGGAAGCTGGGCCAGCAATCCGGGCAAGCTGGGTTTGAGGAAGCGTGGAAGAACAAAACCATCTTCTACAACTGGTGGAACGGCGACACCGGGTTCGGCGCCCACAATGCGGAAACGTGCTCCAAGTCAATCTACATCTACCCGAACAGCGTGGGCTCGATCACATATCGTGACGAGTATTACAGGTATGTTTCAGATGGATCTGACTACAGGTTCCTTACTGACACGAAGTCTCCACAGCGCACCCCAATCTCCATACTGGGGTATGGGCGATAGTCGCATCGCCGTCTTTGCCGGTGTTCCAGATCTGGTGGTTCCAAGTACGCGATGTCTCCCCCCGCTGATGGCTGACGGATGCTAACGCACTGATGTCTGTTTAGTTGGCGAAATCCCATACAACAGCACCAAGACCGGCACGACCGAATACGTGCCCGTTACTATGAGTTTAGTCGCGGCGCGTGGGTGTGATCTGATGGTGGCAAACATGGTTGCTGCTATGGAGGAACAGGGGATTGTCAAGCCTGTTGCAGTGGGCCCCAGGCTGTATCCATGATTCTATTGACAGTGCGTAGAGAGCGCCATTGTCGCTTTCCGCCATTGTGCCATTGATGGTAGCCGTTTTGTCCACAGCTCATACTGCAGGATGCATAGATAGCATGATTTAGTTCATTGAGTTCAATTTGAGTTGCTCAACATCCGTATATGGTTTAGGACCATTTTGGGTAGAAGACAGTGCTAGTAGTCTGATCGGCTCCGATCGTCGCACTGCGAGGATGTCCGTTGGATGTCTACGCCTCCCGCCACGATAGAAAGAACGTATCCTCTTTCACAGAGGGTCCCTCGAAACTACCTAGTAGTATTGCCCTATGAGATAGGAAGTCCCACTTTAGAGATGCAGGCTGGGGTAAGTCGAGCATTTTTGTCTCCATCGTCGGACGTTACCTAATGATCGATCGGCAATTAGAGGAATCTGCTAGGTTGTTTCAGAGTCGAACACCCCGGCCAGTTCCGGCCATTTTTAGGTCAGTAAGCGATCGAGACAGTCGAATATAAGTACTCCGTATTGCCTAGTCTATACGGAGTATATCAGTTTCAAGGTCCCCGAATAGAGAAGATGCAAGACCATTGAGAGCATCACGGTGTGGCAGCTGGAGAACCAGGGAAACAGTAAAGACGAACCATGGTTCGTTTGGACTCTTGTCTCGTTGTCGCCAGAGAGACATGCGATGGGAAAAATCCCCTTGACATTGGTGTGGTGGTTGTCTGGCTGCTGATATTCAGTGTTGACTGCTCTTGGGCGAGTCGCTCGGAACAAATTCTCAAGCAGACTGATCTCGCATGAAAGAATCCTGGACCGATTTGCATGATCGTTCTCTGTCTGTCGAAGGATTCTTTTATTCTCCGGTGGACCCTACTCCACTGTTTCTGGTCCCCAGCCACCGCGATGCGTCGTTTAGTCGCAGTCCTTCATTTCCTCTTCGCTATTATTAGCAGATGAGATCGATACACAACCGTAGGCAAGAGATTTCGTTCAGAAGGTGTACTCCGGAGTAGTCGGTAGAGATCTAACAATACCCACCGACAAACCGTAGCCTTTTTCCCTATTGTTATTGTTGTTGTTGTTGTTATTTTCGGAGGGAAGATCTCCCGTGCAGTGTGACTGATCGCATGGGAGGACGCGACGACGTGGATGGATGCCTGACCAGCAGGTAGTCTGCACGATGATGACAGATGAGGTCGCAGACGCCTCTTCTCTCCCCTCGTCCCCCGTCAACTCCCACTTCACGACTCGACCTCGACGGAAGACCGAGTCCGCCGTCGATCAGACCATCCATGCTCCCCCTCGAGCCCGTTCGCATCTACCTCCCACGGTGCGATTTTCCACCAGGACGACCACGACCGAGTTCCACCCGGATCGCAGTCCCTCGTTGACCGAATTTCCCGGGCGATCGGCTTCGGCGAGAGGACAGGAGGAGGGAACGGAGAAGGAGACGACGACGAAGAAGAGGACGATGATAAGGATGGGGGACGATCCCCGTGACACGGGCAGGGCAGCCGCGCTAAGGTCGTCGTCGTCCCGTCCAGCTTCATTCGCTTCCTCCTCCCAGCAAGCTTCCTTACCATCTCCCTCTTCCTCGCCTGTCCTTCCATCGCCTCATCGATTACCGCAGAGTCGCTTCAGCTTCGAATTTCATTACCCCCTCCGCAAGAGAGCCTTAACCGCCTCGCACCACGCATCTCACGGTCTTCCCGTGGCTGACGAGCCCCCGTCGCGCTTTGTCGCCCCCGATTCCTCTCCTCTGTTGTACGACCGACCCCGACGTTCCGCGCCCAGTTTGCATTCGTCCTACCTTCGCTCTCCCACAGCCGCCGCTTCGTCGTCGCAATCCCAATCCCCCCATCAAGATTCTGCCCCAGAACAGCACGGTGAACCGGTGTCGCCCCTTCATGCGCGCTCCACCGTCCGAGGCTTGAGTCCCAATGCGACAAAACGTCGGAACGAGTCGTTGTATGCTCAACAGACGTTTCCGAATGTGAAGAGGAGAATGCCGTCATCCACTGTCACCTACGCCCAAGCGAGAACGCTGGCCGATGATCGCGACCACGCCGTGAATGGAATCAGCAAACATGGTCAAGACGACGGTAGCCGGACTCCGGTTGCCGATGATTCGCGATCAAAGAACGAGGATATCTTTTTGAACATCGCGAGGTCCGATTCGACGCGTCGGGAGTCTTTCGGTCGGTCGGATCTGAGACGAGTAAGTGCTTCGAGTGGCCCTCTGAGCCACTGGAGTCATGCTATGATGGCTCTCCTCTCGCGTTCTGTAAATGGGAAAACAATCTGGCGGCTGACGGTCGATTAATAGTCGCGATTTCGAATGTCTGGGAGTGGTCTTCGATCCCCAGCTTCGCGTGTGAACAGCGAACAAACCGCTTCTCCCGATCAACTTCGATTAAATACCTACGACAACCCCTTGCATTCCAATAATGGCTCTCCTTCCACCCCCTACAGCTCTCTATCCTATTCATACGCAGCTTCCGCTCATCCACTCGACGACCACTCCCGGTCGCACCATTCAGGCTACGTCTCCAGCTCCAGGTCGACAATCGGTTTGCCTCGCAGCCGTTTCAGTCGCGTCAGCCCTGATGCTTCCCCTCGCGCCTCCGAAACCAACGCCGAAAGAAGAGCATCGTTACAGGATCCTCGGGCGTATCGTCACTCCACGCTTTCCACCATTCGGGGCAGCCGACACACATCAACTTCTGAGGCAACAGAACGCGCACAGCAAGAGCATGATCGCACTCGACATGATGGAACAGAATCTACTCTATCAACGACCGCACCTTCCACGGTATGGGATGAACTGGAAGATCTCAAGTCACGCATTCGAAAATTGGAATTGACCGGAAAACTGCCGCCCTCCTCGCAAGAGGCAATCTCTTCTGCCTCCAATGATCGGCCAAGGACAGCAACAACGACAGTCACAACGGTGTCATCGTCTCCTCGTCATGGTCGAAAAACAAGCGGTCCGTCCAACGAATCGGACACCATAACCATACACAGTCAGATTCATCCCCTGTTGCAGTCCGCCATGGCCAAAGCCAAGAGCGTCCTGAGCAAGGAGGTTTATGCAGCCCTTGAGGTCACCGTGACGGACGCTCTGGCGTTGTCAGCCCTGCTCAATTCTGGGAAAACGCCTTCGGGCAGTGTTTCCGTCTTGAATGGGTACAGTTCATCCGAAAGGCAGTCTAGGCGAAAGGCGGACAGTGTTTGTCGGAGTTTGACTGAGCTTTGCCTCGCGTTGTCCGACGAACAGCTTCGCAGGCAACAAGCTTCAGGCGCTGAAGGCTCCCACGGGGTACACCATTGCAATAACGCCGATGAAGGGACGGCAACTCCGACGCTTTCCTTTTCGCGGAGTACGAGCCAGGAGCCCGAAGGCCTCTCCCGACGAAAGAGCACTACGCATGCCCCAAGCCGCCTCGAGTCGCGTCGAACAAGTCTGGCAACAATCGGCGCTGTCCCAACCGAGAACGTTCAGAATGAGAAGAAGATCAGTGAGTCCAGCTACGGTGCAAAGCCAACGCCATCACCTGGCTCATCGGCGCCTGCAAGCCGTTTGAGTCGTCTCTCAACCTCCCTTCGAACGAGGAGGCTGCAGCAGGAGGATGACAATTCGGAGCAGCGGTCCTCCCATATCCGATCGCTATCGCGAAGTATGACGGATATAGGCAGCCCTGCTTATACTCAGCGAGTCTCTCCACGTCAGCGACACTCCCAGCTGTACTCGCCATCAGTGCACGATTCTCCACAAGACCAGAGCCCCCGATTCTCAGTCCCATCGGGGCAAACCCAATTACCTCAACCTCGCACTCCGACAACCTCGCAGTCTGGTCTTCCGCTTCGTCGAAGCCTCGCAACTCCCAGCTATACACCAGCGACTTCCCGCTCCAACATTCAGGCCGGATCTCGTCGATACGGTCTATCCCCTGCCGTTTCGGTTGTTGGCGGTGATGGAGCGAGCGATGTGCCCCTTTCACCGGCGCAAGGACCCTCGCAAACGCGTATCACTGCCTCCAGCAAGCTAGCCACGAGCTACACGCCCATCGCCCAAAATCGACTGAGGACCAATAGCCTCGGCGCACGCCGATTCGGCCTCAGGCAGCGACAGCTGTCCGCGGCGGACAACGCTGCAAATTCCTTCGATGATAGCATAGATTGATGGCCGGACGGGTTTCCTTTCCTGTTCATTACTTGATCTTGCATTCAATGTCGGTTACGCCCCTCATCTAACGCAGCGACCCAGCCTCGGGATTTGGATAGACTTCACAGCCGGCGTTTTCGTTTCCTTTCTCCTTATTTTCCTGCTTGATCACATCGCACGAGGCGCTCTGAGACTTGTGTTGTACTTGGCTTTGTTACCTAACGACGAATGTTCTGACACTACATCACCGGATTTGAAAGCATGCATACGTGGGCACAGCGCATTGGACGAATTCATTTCCTGTATGAGCGATTATCATGGTGTTCTTTTCTTTCTTGCTTCATTTCTCTGTCATGCCGATTTGTTCTTCTTTTCTCTTGCCATTTCCTTGTGGGGTTCATGTACAGCCACCTCCCTTCATGTCAGTAGGTTCTCTATTAGTTTTTATTTCCTAAAACTGATGTATAAATCGACTTTCTTAGTCAACTCTTACATATACGCAGGACTCGTCTTATAGTGCCTGTCCGGATCTTCAGATGTAATGTTCAAGATAGTATTCGACGAGGTCGCTGGAGACTACCTAGGTATACATAAATATTTTCCCAACAGACAATATATATATATATATATATAGGGCAACGAAGAGTCTTTGCTGGACATATACTAACATTTGGCAAGTTAATCAATTCATAGCTACAATTTGACCAGACCTAGGATGAAGTATAAGAGAAATCTTGTAATCACATGCTACAGAAACAGGTCATTATCATTGTCTACAGCTAGCTTTCCGCCGTGATCTCGGACAAGATAGCCTCAAGATTTCATGACCATCAGTTCATTGCACGAAGAGTGTCCGGAATAGATGTAGGATGAGTTTGTCGAAGGTAAGAGACCAGGAAGATAGATAACAGGATAGCTCAGATGAGTAGGATTTCATGGCATAGGAATGAAGTGGTTGCTCAAGGACCAGGAGTAGACGGACACAAGACAGTTAGGTGCGCAGCAGGATGAAGACAGAGGACGAGGATAAGAAGAGACGCGGGAGGAAGAACAGTGAGCAATTTGAGCAACTTTTCATAAGGAGAGCAGGGAGAGAGAAGGGAAACAGCATCACACAAATCAGATATGGCTGATGTCCTTGAACAACTGCATGAGAAATATGTGACCTGGGAACACCAGTTTTTGGAAGGTATCGTCAGTAACTCTGCTTGAGTCCGGTTCATTCAAAGCAAGACGATCGACAGCGATCGGACGTTTTGGTATCTAACAGGCATGTACGGTTCGCCTCGGCAAGCTCTTGCTTCTGGTAAACCAAAGAGGCTGCTCAATTAAGAGAGAAAAGTAGAGGAAAGAAGGAAGACAGCGTCAAGAAGGAGAAGACTATGAAAGAGAGGCGAGAATAGTCGCAAGGATGTTTCGATTTGGATGAGTGAAAGCCAGTTGGCGATCGCTCCCGAATGTCATGCCAGGCCGACTGGCGGCAATCACGACATTCACTCCGGGGGCTGCTGGCTGCGACGCGTCTTCTCCGCTTCAAGGTTCTCATACAACAGATACAAAGCCTTCTCGTTCGCCGCAGCACTACCCATAATGGTGAACATGCGCTCACCCGTTTCGTCGTGAGGGGCCTTTGCAATGGAGATCCGGGCTCCCGAGCTCCTACGGATCTCCGTGATCTTGCTTCCGGCTCTGCCGATGATGCATCCAACCATATCAGCGGGGATGCTGATGTTCTGCGTCTGGATCTCATCGCCGTCCTCGGCGACCATGGGGAACCGGCCGGCGTCGGAATTGGACCGTCTGCTGCTGTATCCACCGGACTGGTCGCTGAAGTCGGCGCCATTGCCGGTGCGGTTGTAGGGGCGGCTGCCATAGCCATTACCCATGTTGGTGTTCGTCGAGCCCGAACCAACCGAGGCTCGGACAGCGGGATTGTAGAGGATGGTACCGGTACCGCGCTGCCAGTCGTCGATCAGGCATTTGCCAATCTCCCAGACAGCCTTTTCGATTCCCTCAGGCGTTCCTTGCACCTCCACAATCCGTTCGGTCGACTGCGGCAGCATTTCCTTCTGGGCGACCATGCGAACACCGGAAGCATCCTGGATGTGCTTGATTTTCAGGCCCTGTCGTCCGATGATGGTACCCATCTGGTTGTGCGAGATCAGAAGTCGCACGGCTAGATGATATTAGCTCAAGGAATTCTCCCCACTGGACGTCGCGGATGACTTACGATGAGTTCCGTTGTTGGACACAATGCCACCCATGCCCATCTGCGGAGCGCCCTCCAGTAAGCCCTTGGCGACCAGGGCATACGCGCGGGCGGTACCATGCAGAGGACCGGTCACCGTCAGAACGCGATCGTGCACACCGGGGACCACCTTGCTCACACCGGCCTTGACACCGGTCTCGTCGCGCAGATCGGCGACATTTTTACCCGCCTTGCCGATAATGATGCCGGCTTCCTTGGACGAAACGATGGCGCGGAGCGTCAGCATGGACTGGGCGTATTCCTCCTCGGTCTTGGGAGTGACTTCGATCTCGGGTTCGTCGATCATGTTGGCATCATTCATCGACTCGTCGACCATGGTGGCGTCGTGCATTTCGGTGGAATCCATGTTGATATCAAGAATGCAGGAAAATCAAACAGAACTGCAGAGAAAGGGTTCGAAATTAAATAATAGATTCGCTTTCGCGTCCTGGGGAGTATTGTCAGTCGGCTGATATGGCTTGTGCGGATGACGCAGATCGTCCGATGTTCACACGACACGCGACGGGAGTATCGACAGAGAGAGGTGTAAATTGCGGAAGAGAGTGGGAAATGGCATGGGATAATGATGATAATACAAGTGAATGGAATCTCCAGCAGGTGTCGAGAGATCAAGTCGAATCAGAAAGGGAGATGAGGTGTGGCGCGGCGTAGCATGAATGGGATGGAAGAGTGAAAGACACCGTCGAGGGTTCGAAGGACTGGTAGGCGACTTACCTTATGTAGATTGAGAATTGTCGGAAGTGGGGTGTTCGAATGTGAGGATGGAGGAGTCGGGGTTGGATGGACAAAGAGGGGACAGGCAAAGAGATGAGGCGTCCAGAGGGGTTTCAGCGGGCGGGGAGAAAAGGTGGAGGGAGGAGAAGAGGAGAGGGAAGTGGTCGGTGGAGGGAAAAAGGAAGGGGGAGGGGAAGACGGAGAGAGGGAGAGATGGGATGAGAAGAGGAAGAAGAAGAAGAGGGGAGGAGAAATATGGTAGGAGGTGAAGACAAGAAGAAGGTAGGGAAGGAGAGAGAAGAAGAGAAGGGAATGAAGAGGAGGAGGAAGAGTGAAAAAGGTGGAGAGGAGAAGAGGCCGCAAGAGAGGAAGCGGAAGAAAATCGGGTTTAGCGTGGTTTGCACTGGAATTCGGCAACTTCGCCAGTATTATTATCCATTATCCATTCAGTGTCACCTTTTCACCTGGAGAGGCTCATGTGTCTGCAGAAGTCACCTTCCAGGGGCTAATCAATTATTTCCCCCCTTTATCTGGCAATTCAACAATCCCCTCATATCCATTCTTCTCCCGAATCTGACGTGTCACTCTTCACTCGAGTAACACCAACCCTCAGTACCTTCCTAACATCTTCCCCTTCACTATTTATCCGCCTCGAAGATGACCTTCTGCACCTTCATCGCATTAAACAGGTCATACGCCTCCACCGCCTGGGACAGAGGCATGATCTTCTCCGCCATGAATCTACCCTCATCAGCATCATCGTCTGAACCAACATGACAGGAAAGACCACATACCCTAGCTTATGCTGGTTCTTCTTGAGAACCTCCAAAGACTGTGGGAAAACAGATCTCACAGGGCATCGGCCCATCTGGATTCTCAAATTCTTGCCATACGCCTCACAGCCATCCCACGGAATCTATTCAGAAGGAAGTCAGCAACGAGATGAATCAAGCCAAAGACAGAATGAATCACCTCTCCATTATGCACCCCAACGCTACTAATCGTCCCCCACGGTCGCAGCAAGTCAAAGCCCGTCCGCAACGCCGGACTCAGCCCCACGACTTCAATCACCGCGTCGGCGCCGCGTCCATGCGTCAGCTCCTGCACGCGCTTGTCCAACCCCGCCCGATCCGTCTGGAAGTTCCACGGTTCCGCCCCCAGCGACTTGGCCAGCTCGAGTCTGGAGGGGATCGAGTCGACGGCAAGGAGATGCTTGGGCTTGAACTCCAGTGCATTGATCAAGGCACACAGTCCGACGGGCCCACAGCCAATCAGGACCACCGTCTGCTCAGCGATCTGCTCGGGCGTGTAGCCCTTAAAGGCGCTGCTGGCAGCAAAGTAGCCGGTGGGGAAGATGTCGGCCATCAGGACGAGGTATTTCTCATCCACGCCGGCGGGGGCTTTCATCGCTGTCCCATCCGCATTGGGGATGCGGATCTAAGCAGATGTGGTCAACAGGGAGGTCCAGATCGTCGTACGAGAGCATACTCACATACTGCGCCTGGGCGCCGTCCAGATTGTCGCATCCAAACAGAACATTCTTTTCGCACCGCGAAGAAAAGCCTTGCGTGCAGTAGAAGCATTCACCGCTGATAGAACGTTAGTTGTTTAAGAGGCTTAGAGTAAATAGCTTTGCGGAGTCATCCGATGCGCGAAAATAAAAATGACAACGATAGGCACTTACCACGACGTCGTAAAGGCACTCACAATCAGATCTCCCTTCTGAATAGTCTTGACCTTATCACCGACCTCAATAACATGACCAGTGACTTCATGGCCCATTATGAAGCCCGTGCCCGCAGGCTCGATACCGCGGTAAGTATGAAGGTCACTGACTTCCGGTTAGTAAAATATTCTCGCTGCTTGATGGATCCGAAAGGCGCCAGAAGAGAAGAGTTTTTGTCTTACCTTCCGCAAAGAGCAGTATACGTCACTTTCACAATGATATCCTGCGCATCCTGGATTTGAGGAATTGGCCGTTCCTCGACCGCGACTTTGTAGGGGCCGCGGAACACCACCGCGCGCATTTTATTGTCGGTAGCCATGTTTTCGTGCGAGCTTAATCGATCACAATGGGCTGGTAGCAAGTCGGAGGACTATGTGAGCCGGATAGGCTTCTATGAAATATTCAGCTGCGTCCGAAAGAAAATTGTTTCCAGTTCCGATAAACGGACAGGCGGCATTTGCCCCTCAATGCGTCCCCCCTCGGTGGGGCGGTCCAGGATTCGGGTCGGATATTGAACGGAGTATGGGGATTTTTGCAATGATTTCCCTTGATTTCGCTTTGAAATACGTCCCAATCTGACGGGGTCGCCAGAACGATTTTGAACGGAAGAGTTCATATTGACATTTGTCCTCCTCTCCTTTGCTCCTGGGTCCAGACCGCAGCAAGAACAATGGCAGCGACTCTATACCTTCGATATAGGCAAAGGTTCCCATTGACGCCAACCAACTGAGGACCAGGCGAGAGCGTCACTCAATGCAGCCGAGCGAAGCTGATCGCAGAGGTATAAGCCTAGAAATGCATTCAGCACATGCATCTCCTTGCCCGCCGTCAGAATGTTGACCGCTACACAAAACGTTTATTAGAGAACATGGACTCGATTCCTGTAAATTTGAGTGGCACTGACACTTCTCATTCATGTAAGGAGTTGCACAGACAAAGCACCAAGTTCGTGCATCGAGAGAAGAGAAGCGGGGAGGGTTCTGGCCATGCATTGAATGGAGAAGACCATGGATTGGGCCGATTGTCGCAGAGGCAAAAATAGAAGATTCCCAAAAGACAAGAAAACAGAACATGCACCTGATAACGCCTTATGCCTGAACGCCACGATTGACAACGCTCGCTGTATGAATCAGTCTGTGCAGAAAGTCTTGCCGGGTCACGAGTATGGCCCTCCAGTGGGGGTCATGGGTTTGATCCACTCGAAGAAGCCGACTCAGCAGACGACGCAGAGAAGCTCTTCTTCCAAGATAAATTTGCCCTCCTTATACTTCTCGCTGGCTTCGTATGCCTTGTCATATTTCCACCCTACCGTTTCTCGACACTGTCTGCAAGAAATATCGCGGACGATATGCCGCCCTGTGGTCATGCTACGCTCGACAGCTTCCGACTGGGTGATGTTGACAACGTTATTGAAGAGGTACGCTTTGCCATGTTGACCACGGAAATTCTATTGGGGCAACGATGATTGGTCAGCCGATGATTCCAACCACCAGCGTCTATGAAACAAGGGGGGAAAGGAAGACTCACTCGGCTGATGATATCATCGTAGTCGGCAAGGTGCGTTTTGCATTGCTTGCAGCCGAAGATTTTGTTGGAAGTGAGGTACACGTTGTACGCAAGACCCATTATGACCTATCCAAGCCTGCCTTCCCACTACCACCGTTGAAGTATACGAGGGGTTGTCCTGAAACGTGAGTTCGGCAAAGACGAAGTTGGCGTGGAGCGGAGAGTCAATAGGAAGAGATGTAATCAATCAACCAAGAGAGATCCCCCACAAAACCAAGCACGACTATGTTTCTTTTGAGGTCTCAACTCCTCCGCGTTGTCCTGTATGGTGTTCCTGCAAAGGAACTAAATTTCGAGAGTATGGGAGGGTCTTTCGAATCGGACGACTGAAGACTGGAAGATCGGAACGGACAGAGGCCGCGGAGCGACAGAGGTCAGGAGGGGAGAGTATTGAGGTTACCTTGACTGTGGATTCGAGGAAGAACGGATTAGGAAGAGATACAGGAAGATGGGACGTGATCGTAAAGGCGACAGATGGTTGGAGGTGACAGTAAGGTAGGTATAAGGCCTCCAGAGAGGAGAAGGGGGGATGACGGTCAGGAAGAAGAAAGTCCGATCCCGAGAGTGGTCGGGTGATGCGATGGGCGGAAGATGACCGTGGAGGCTGATGTGCGGGAGGGAGGAGGTATTTATGGCTGCTGGAACGGGAATCGAGGCCAGGCGATGTGTAGGTTGTGAATAATGAGTGAAAATGAGCAGAAAGAATGGATAGATGGAGGGATGAGAGACCATCGGGCAGAGAAGGTACCTTAGTAGTCCAGTGCTTGGGGGGCCTCAGGAGCAGAACCCCCGCATCGGGACAGGCTTCATCCACGAATGAAACCAGGAAAGCATCGGGGGTTCCACGTCGAGAAGCTGCATACCCTTTGTACTAATAATATATGTAGCATTCGACTACCTAACAAACCACCCTTTATCCTATACTTTCTATCCCCTTTTCTTTCATCATGCTACCTCCTCCATCTCGATCCCTGGCCCCCGATAAGCCGATCCCGTCCTTTGCCGTCTTCAGCCCCTTATCGGTCTTATCGCCGCCCCGCCCTCCCCGATCTGTACCACCAAAATATGTAGTGAAGAAGTATGGACAGGATAGGCGATCGATCCCCGATTGCTCCCTAGACAAGAACCAAGGTAGCCGCTACCACCGACCTAATAGATGACTCAAGCCAAAAGGCTATTCTTAATCGTCCAGATACCTTCCTATCGAGTTGTATTATAGTATCGGTCTGAAAGCGACCTGACTTTAGAAGGATAGACCCTCGATATGATTGCCATGGGTACAGAATATCAGTTTACGAGCCTTGATTACACACTCTAGTATATACACAGACCATGACGTTGAATTCGTCGTAGGCATTGGACATGCATGGACACCCCAGCCCTCATTGAGGTAACTCCAAAAATCCAGCATTCGGGATAGACTGTCGCATTCCGCAGACTTCCATAAACAGTCATGAGGAAGGAAGCCATCTTCGTGGCACCAGGGCGAGTTGCGCAACTTTCACGACTCACTTGACCAAGTCCGACTGCCAGTCATCCCACTCATCTGGTTGCATCTTATCTTCGCCAGATGCCAGAATGCTGTGCTACAGCCCAGCAACTCATCGTTGGCGCAACATGCCCATGTTGTTCTCCCAGAACAGCCGACAGTCGGTATGTCCCCAGTGATCCGTCCACCACTCCCCAAAGCTGTCCTCCACACCCTCATCAAATTTAGGGAGGCGTTCATCTCGTTTCAAGCCGCACAGCGCACAGGCATGTGATGCCTTGATGGCTCCCTGTGCAGCGGTTGCAGTCATGGCCCGGGTGTTTTCCGAGACGATCTGAACCGGACGTCGTCCCGACGCTTGGATGACAGAGTTAAAGAGAGCCGCCCGTTCACGCCACATGGCAATTACATCGACGGCCTCCTGCTGCTCTTTGATGTCTTCGTTCTTGTTGACAGTGTTCAGCTTCATTCCCCCGGATTTTCCGGCCCGCGCGGGCCCAATCTTCATGCTTTGACTGAGAATTGTGTCTCTCTTCCATCGCAAAGTACGGCCTGCAACTACTCGAGCCGCAGCTTTCAAAGTACACGTAATCCTCGATGCAGCCTTTTCCATAAGCTCGGGTTGTTGGGGATTTCTCCGCGCAGAACTTGCCTCCTCCCGGAGTTCCTCAAACAATCGAGGGAAGAGCTCCAGTAAGACAGACGGCGGGGGAATGTTGGTCGGTCGTACCTGACCGGCAGGGACTGAACTTTCCACAACTCCAAAAGTTTGCGTAGGCTTGGGCTCTGGTTTCGTTGGTTTCTTCGAGGTGGGCCTTTGAGTTGGTTTCGATTTGGGAGCTTCTGCAGGGGGCCCATCGACGAAGTCATCCCACTCTTCAAACGGGTCGTCCGGTGCAAGGATATTGGACGTTGCAGGCGAAGCAGGCTTGTTCAAAGTACGAACTCCACCACAACTTGTGGGCTTATGTGAAACAGGAGGGCTGTCTTGGATAGACAACGAGTCCAATAAGTCAAGTTGATTAACCTGCGCCGGAGAGCGACTAGGCTGACTCGTATTGCTATTGACCGATTTAGCTACGGGTTTCTGAGACTGAGGAAGCCCAGTCGCCGTAATCTGGCTAGGTGTAGCATCAGCTGTTTCAAACTCTCCCCAATCTTCACTTTCACTGTCCGGAACATTCTCTAATGTGGCATCGAATAGCACATCACCGCCTTGGTCGTGCGAGGTCAGTTGAGGGCTATGGAAGTCCCCAAATGAATCTGAACGATCGCGTAGTGGTTGTGAATGAACTGGACCGGAAGCATTCGGCTGGTGGGAACTTGAGCGCGGAGCATCTTGCACCGTCTCCAGACCGGGAATCAACGAACCCGTTTGAGAGCGAGAAGATGTGAAATTCTGATTGTTCGCAGCTTGATTGGAAGGCGCTCCGAACCCAAACTCAGCAAACAGGTCTGCGGACATTATTGGCCTCGAGATGCAGCATTCATCAGGCTGTCTGTGGTCATTATCCAGTCAAGAATTTCACGGGATGGGCGGATTTGTCGTAAACAGCGTTGGCATGAGTCAACTGTGAACGAGGAGATTCAACCCCCTACAAGCTCTTATGAGCGGAACAGGCGTGTTGTTCTTGTATGCCTAGGCGTAGACGGAGCCAGAGTGGTAGGTGGGAGAAATGTTGTTCTTAGTCAGGTCCAACTGGTGGCGGGTCATCTCCGCGGCTTACCAGGTCTGGGCGATCGCCGCCCCTCGTCATTGTTATCTGCGACCCAAACTTCATCCTCTGTCACGACAACAATCAGGTCTGTTCGCGCGGACCTGCCGGATGCAATGCGGGACATTGAGGATACAAGGGAAGTAGTCTGAACTCTCAGACTCTCCGAAACTGCCCATAGCTAACGATTTCCTCAGACAGCGATGGAATACCCTGTTTCGCGACAATGATACCGCGGCCGACCTTCGGACGGCGCTCAGGTCAGAGCAAGGAGAGAAACTGTGCATTGACGGGCTACGATCGATCTGTTGGAAGGCATGTGCTCGTCAAATATACCGTCTCCGTTTATATACTTACCTTGATGTAGGCATTCTTGGTTTTCGACCATCTTGACCGGGCCCAATGGGCGCAGAAGATCTCCGAATCGCGCAGCGCCTACGTCGCCCTCCGGTCGCATTTTCTAAAATACATTGAACACCCCGATGACCTACAATCTACTACCGATCCTCTGGCAGATGACGAAGAGGTATGCTACAATCCTCTCCTGGTCATGGGAAGGTAGAACCAGTCGATCTGATTAGGATCCCCTTGTAGTCTCCTTGGCAAAACCTGCGGCGCGACGAGCAGATGAGAGCGGATATATCTCAAGATGTCGATAGATGTTTGCAGGAGAACTTTTTCTTCCGAGAACCCGCCACCAAGGCAAAGATGATCGATATACTCTTTATCTATTCGAAGCTGAACCCGGATCTGGGCTACCGTCAAGGTATGCATGAGCTAGTCGCGCCCATATTGTGGGTTGTCGACCGGGATACAATCGACCCCAAGTCTCTCAAAGACTTCACATCGACAGGGCCGGATGATGAGTCTATGATCCAGCTTCTCGATGCTAGCTATGTGGAGCACGACTCCTTCACCTTATTCTGTTCAGTCATGCAAAGTACCAGGTCATATTACGAACATAATCGACAGCGATCGCAAAATGGGCAGCTAGATGCTATCCCGATTGTACATCAATGTCAATACATCCACGATAATCTCCTTATGACAGCGGATCTGGAGCTGGCGGATCATCTGCAAGCTCTAGAGATCCTACCACAAATCTTCCTCACGTGAGTCTATCCTACCAGTATGAGGGGCCAGGAATTGCTGACGGGCCCAAAGACGATGGATGCGACTGCTCTTTGGACGCGAATTTCCATTCCAGGACGTACTTGTGATGTGGGATGTCCTCTTTTCGGAGGGGTTGCGACCCGAGCTCGTTGAGTTTGTCTGCGTCGCGATGCTGTTGCGCATTCGCTGGCAATGTTAGTTGTAGTATCATGAGATGTGTTCGAGTTGTCATTGCTGATACGCTCTAGTATTGAGTGCGGATGCTTCGACCGTATTGACTACTTTACTCCGCTA